ATTTTTATTGATTTCAGAGAGGAAGAGAGAGATAGAAACATCAATGATGAAAGAATCATTGATCGGCTGCCTCCTGCACGCCCCCTACTGGGGATCAAGCCCGAAAACCGGGCATGTGTCCCTGACTGGAATCAAACTCAAGACCCTTTAGTCCGCAGGCCGACACTCTATCCACTGAGCCAAACCAGCTAGGGCAGTATCATTTTAAGGAGGGAGATTTCTTTAGGACTTTTTTTCTGCCCCAAATAAATTAAACATGGTTTTCTTAAGCACCTGCTTCTTCTTCTTCTTCTTTTTTTAATTTAAAAAGAAATTTACTCTCCTGCCCAGCCGGCTGGCATGGCTCAATGGTTGAGTGTCCACCTATGAACCAGGAGCTCATGGTTCAATTCTAGGTCAGGGCACATGCCTGGGTTGCGGGCTCAATCCCCAGTGTGGGGCATTGCAGGAGGAAGCTGATCAATGATTCTTTCTCATCATGGATGTTTTCTCTCTCCCTCTCTGAAATCGATAAAAATTTATTTTAAAAAATTACTCTCCTATTACAGATAGTAGTATATAGTAGAGATGGAATTATTTGCATTTAGGTTAAAGTGGAGGTAAGGCCCGGAGTGAATTTCCAAGGACTTTCTATTATTCTAAATTTTTGTTTCCCTTCCCCATAATCTTATCAGAGAAGATTACTGGACAGACTCACCCCTAGAGCAACGTTTCCTCTAAGTTTTGGTGAATTTATTGACTCCAAGCCTGCAGAATAAAAGAAATATAATAAAAGTAGAGTAAGAAAGAAGGAAAATAAAATCCAAAACAAGACTCCAAAAGGCACAATTATTAGTGTGGGAATCAGGAGGAAACTTCACTTTGGCAACCTGGCCAAATGTAAGTTGGGTTAGGACTATAATTTATTTTATGTAATTATATTATTTTGAATTAATTGAGCAGAGACTTAAATGAGAATGTGAAGTGACTAGAACAGAGTTATTTATGACATCACAGAAGTTAGTGGTTATGTGGCTGTACAGGTCTGGTCCCAATTTGGTTGAGGAAGACATACTGGGTCCTGGGAACCCTGGGGTCCCCCATCTATTACCCATTTTGGCCTTCCTCAGACTATCTGGGTCTAGGATGACCTAGTATAAGGCCAAACCTCTCAAAATGTTTCCAAGCTCAAATTGAGAAATCTGTCCCAGCCGGTCAACTAACCAAGACTCAGTTCAAGGCTCATCCCCACAGTGAAGTCTTTCCTAATCCCTCTATCATTGGTGGAATTAGTTTGTAGAATATGTCTAAATTTGGGTACCACAGGGAGGCATCATTCTCCTAAACACTTGGAAATGGGATAGTAACAATGCCCCCTGCCTACTCTACAAAAAAATGGATGGAATAAATCACCTCAAAGGAGAAAGTATAGTTCCCAGGGTCAGTGCGAAGTCTCATGACAAAAAACATGGTCTCTCCCTCCTCCCCCAATAACAGCAATGGTGAACTCCCCCCCCCCTTTTTTTTATAGAGGACATGGTAAGATTCCATAACTTTTCAGCCACTTTCAGCTACTAAAAGTTTCATTTTGGCACTTAAGATTTCATTCAGGGATTTGGTATTAAGTACATTTTAAACTTCAATTTCAAAGTCAATCAACCTCCCTCTTTCTCCTCACCCTTCAGGCAACCTACATCTGTCCCCAGCTCTGGTGGTTTGGGAAGTGGGAGGGGATTGGTGTTTTGCTATTTACACCCATCTCCTCTTTTTTGTAGGTACCAGTTCCTGTTGTCTTAGGATGAGCAGGGGCTGGAGAGGAAAAGGGCCGAGTTGAAGTCTACAATATTGGTCTCAAGTGCTGTTCTTGCTCCGTGTCTGTGGGCTTCATGAGGAGAGTGTTGGCTCCAACCTGCCCAACAAGGGGCTCTCTTCTAGGCATGCTCCTACACAATAACAATCTCTTGTGAGAGATTGTGGGGACTAGAGGTTAGGAGTGTGGGCTCAGGAGCCAATTACCTGGGGTCAAATATTCTGCCACTTAATCCTATATAATAAAAGGCTAATATGCAAATTGACTGAATGGCAGAACGACTGCCCTATTGGCAGTGGCAGGAGCCTCTCCCGCCTTTGCGGCAGCGCTAAGGATGTCCCACTGCCGGGGAGCAGGCCTAAGCCATCAATTGGACATCCCCCAAGGGCTCCAGGATGGTGAGAGGGTGCAGGCCAGGCTGAGGGACCTCCCAAGTGCACATATTTCATGCACCAGGCCTCTAGTAGCTATATAACCTTGAGCAACCTTTTTAACTTCTTGGTGCTTCCATTTATTTACATGTAAACTTGGAATAACACAGTAGTATCTATCATGTAAGGATTGCATGAGTGAATAACATACGCCTGGGACTTGGTAAGGACCCAATTAATGTTAGCTGTCATTACCATTTGACTAGCTGACCTCCAAGTGATGACAATGACACCCTCTAGTATGTGGGCATCTACTTACCTTGCTGCACTGATCCCTGCATAACTATGGTGCCACCACTGATCAGGTTGAAAACCAGCTAAGGAACTAATTTTGTGCTCTATATGATTGTAGCTCTTTTACATAATTTTTATATTAGTACCTTCAGTAAGAGATTATTGTATAAAGGTTTTTTTTGTTTTTGTTTTTTTATCTTGGTAGAAATGATCAGTTGGGACTTCTAAAACCCAATTTAATGAAATTTTTTTGGGGGGAAAAACTTCAAGATAACAAAAGCTGACATCACTAAGAGCATGCTTTGGCAAAACTCTGCTATGAAATCTGTATTAAAGTGAGAGGCCAACATTCTTTATGGAGCTGAGAGGCAGGGCTGAGTGGATACAGGAATTATAAATCTGGGAATAAAAATCTCATAAAACAAATTAACCCTCAGATCTCTAAGAACAGTATAAAAATTGATAGCAGTACATCTAGCAGTTTATAAATTGAGGTGCTTTGGAAAACATCATCTTATCACTTACCAAACACCTCTGTGTGTAGAGCACTGGATATACATCTGAGGGCACAAAAGAATTAAGGCAACTACTTTTTTTATCTGATTATCCCAGGTTAAAGTATTCTCTCCTCCCTCTAAACACTGAATTATGTATTACATAATTCCTTGACAATTATGTACTAACCTTGTGATATTTTATCTCTTAAATTCTTGAATTGTTACTCAATATTTTGTAACTTTTTATGTCTGTTATTTATAATTTACCTCCCCACTAGAGTACTGTAATTGTTCCCCAGAGTGAAGGCAGGCAGCAATCTTTATGAAGACCAGATTCCTTCAAGCTCATCCTTACATTCAGGAGCAGCTCTTTGGAAACTCATAATCTGGAATTAGTTTAACAAACCCTCATCCTTGACAGATGATGATTCTTTTGCCCTCTAGCCTCATCGGGTTGCCAAAAGTCTAGCCCAGTTTCAGCTGAGTCTTGTAGATCAGCACACGCTTGGAAGCAGAAGAAATCCAGGCACAAAGGCAAGAGAGAGAAAGCAACAGATGGCACATAACTAGGATGCTATTTAAATGCAAAAATATCAGTAATTACATTAAATGTAAAAGGGCTAAATATTTCAGTTAAAGCTCAGAGATGATCAGACTGGATTAAAACCCAAACTCAAACCATATAATTTTCAAAGACATACATCTGAAACTAAAGGATATACAATGGTTGAAAGTAAAGGGGTGGAAAAGTTATATTGTGCAAGTGCTAACCAAAAGAAAGCCACTGTAGCAATATTAAGAATAGAAAAAATAAAGAGGCAGAAATCTTTGCTAACCATAAATTCATTTCACAAGGATAAAATATTTTATTCACTAGGAATATATGTATAATAATCCTAGTTTTGTATATGTACCTAAAACATGACCTTAAAATATGGAAAACAATATTAACAAAATTATAAGGAGAAATAGGTAAATCCATAATCATAATGGGCTATTTTTATATTTTTTCTCAGTAATAAACCAAAGGAACAAAAAATAATCAGTAAGAATATAGAATGTTTGGACAACATGAATAAGAAGCTTGACACAAATAGACACATCATTCAAATTAAGATCTGATTCAGTCATCTTTCTTTTGTGGAAGAATACATATTTAGGGTCATGAGATCTTTTTTTTCCTATCCATTCTTCCATGCAAGCAAAGATATGAAAAAGCCTCCAATACACCTGTTTCTACATCACACAAGAGAATATATATTATACTCTGAATATGCACATTGTAAAATTAATTTTAATCCATCTCTATTTCCATCATCTTGGTATTAGTATTACAGATTGTATTCTTTGCATTGCTTAATTTTGTGAATTAACTTTGATGACAGCTATCTTATTGTCTAAACTTACTTCCATCGCCTGGGTTGTTAGGACATAGAAGTAAAAAAAGTGCTAAATATTTTTTAAGTTACAGTAACTTAGTTAATTCTGTCATTCTAATGGGCAGGATTTAGGGACTGCTCAGGAGCTCTGGACTCACCATTTAAAACCTTTATGAGAAAAGCCTCAGATTTCAGACCAAGTAGTGCTATATAGATATGCAAAATTACTAGGTAGAAACACCTTTGGATTTAAATGTAATTGCCATTGCCTTGCTAATAGTAATATTCTGCAAACAAAGGGTATATATTTAATGGGTATTTCTACTATAAAAGAAACTGCTTTTGGGGAAACAGTACTGCTATCTTCGGAGCAAGAAAGGTGGTGTGTGACAATACTGGAATTGACAAGGAGGATGGAGGAACATTTGATAATTTCTTTTAAAGAAGAATTTTTAAAATCTCCCTTTTCAACCTTTTCCATACATATTTGGTGAGTTGTTAGAAAAATGCCCATAATAAGTTTTTACAAAATATGAAATGGCTTTTCTTCTTTAAAGGGCGAAACCAAGGTTCAACCTGAAGAATACATTTTGCTCTGCGGTCATCTTTATTACAACCAATATAACTCCTATAACCAATATAGCACATAAAAAAACAAGCGAGGCAATGGCATTTGGAGGAATTCCATTTATTGTGGATGCATTTTCACAATATATACTTATTGCAGCGATCAGTTATCAGTGAAAAACATCAAGTGTTTATAAAATTTTTAGGAATGGCAGATTCACAGAACATGCTAGTCACCTTGCAGTTTTACCTCTTAAAGATAACACAGAGAATTGTAATCAGACAAGTAAACATGGGATTTATTTTTTTCAAAAGAACAAAATTCTACCCTAAAACTTATTCCATCCAAATATCGGAATAAAAGTCAGGATCGATATATTCTCTTCTCAACTTTAGACTTTCTAGAAACAAATATATATACTAGTGATCAGGAGAAGCTCTTGTTCAAAAGTACAACAAAGCAATGTTATATCACCATGGGCCTTAATTCAAACTTCGATCCATGTCACTCCAGTGATGGGAGTCAATGCTAAATGAGGCACTACATGTGGGTTCTAGGTTATCTTATCATAGACTCATATCTATTCTGTCATGGGTGGATGAGGTGTGCGATCTTGGTGGTTTTCCTTCCTTTGGCCCAGGTGTGCTAAAAGCTAGAGAATTCAGCTACTCTTTACTGATTTTTGAAAAAAACAGACTCTGCAAGGCAGTAGTCACTGCTCATGTCAGCCCTGCCCTGGCTGGCTCCTCCAGGGAAATACTGTAGGTTAGAAAATAGTCATTTGTGAGGCTCCCTCATTGTGGTAGAAATTGAGAGTAGGACACTTTTGGTTAAGTCAAATGAGGTATAAGTTTATAGAACTATCCTATATATCTCTATGCTAAAACATATGGCCAAGACAGAGGAGTACTCTTTTATCATCTATTATGAAGAATAGATGAACACTTATAAGCTAAAGTAAGATCTGATGTCTAGATTACATGTATAAAAAAGATGATTTGATAAAGACTCTTGGGGAAAATAGTAAAACTACTAAAAGTTACATATATTTTTTGAAAGTTCAATACATTATCAACTTATGGCAAGTACCAATGACTAATAAAAGTAGAAACTTTTAATTTAAAAAATGGTTTCGTATAATAAAGATGAAGGACTATCATGACTCTTAAATATTGGAATTTGCTTACTTCTCTTCTCTGCTTCCAGACATTAGCCAAAGCTGGTCTTTGCATACCCACACATGGAATTTCGATCTGGACAATCTTGTCACTAAAATCCTCGTCTTTAAATTTTAGACAAAGAAGAGACCTCAGATATCCTCGAAGCCAACCAATTGTGAACTTGATTGCTAACAAAATAAAGTTCTCAGCAAGCTTTGAGTTTGATCCAGGTGGTAGTAAAATTCACATTGGACTTCAAGATTGCTTTTCATTATAAGCTAAATACTATGCTTTATAGAAAATGTCAATTCATTTTGACATTTCAAATCTCTCTTTTTTTCTTACAGTTCATCTATTGGGCATTGAAGATATATTGATACCTATTCTGCCATGTCTCTATTGGCAAATATGAATATTAATATAATGTGATTTTTAATTTTTGAAAAGCTGTGATATTGGCTAGTTACAAGGACATACTGCTAAATATAATAGTCTAGCACATAAAAGAAGCTTTCTACCATTAGTGTGTTTGTATACGTGTATGCACATACATACATGATCAGGTCATCTAAAATGTGGTTCACTATCACTACCAAAGAAATCCACAAAGCAACCAACCTAAAGATATCAGTACCACTGTCTGCTAACATCATCATCCAATTTAGATAATCATCAGCATGAAAAAAGTAATACCTTAACAGTACGTTTTTTAAAAAAGACAATCATCATTGCAGAATCTCAAATCTGAAATGCGTTACTTTCAGAAAGTGTTACAATTGCCTACTGAGATCATTTCTTCCATGCTTTATTCTAAAGTGCAGAAACAACATGACTTCTGTATGTAAAACAAAAAACAAAAAACAAAACCCCAAACCCCACTATGGTTTGTTTTTCTGGACACTGCACACATTCCTCAGGCAAATTTTCAGCTTGAACCTCCTCCTGCTCGACTTCCGACGTGGTTGGTGTCACCGTTCAGAGTTAGGATGATCAGTAGAAAGTCTCTATTTCACAGCATGGGTTTCTTTAGAAACAGGCTCCTGTGCAAAGGCAGTACTTTTACCATGAACTTCTCTAGACTGTGATTATTAAATATAGTGAAAATATACATGGGTTTACTGGGATAATGAAAAATAAAACAAAAGGAAATTAACCCAATTTAGTAAATCAACATAAATATAGAACAGAGCACATTAACCCTCTTCAGCTGAGCTGGTCTAGCATCTTGAGTGGCTACTCTGGCTTCTTTCTTGAACGGTCTCACACCTGTTAAGAGAAGAGAGCTTTAAATCGGCAGGCCACAGTGTTTCAGCCAGATGTTTATGTCAGAAGAAAAAGAAAAAAAGAATTATAATATGGCAGGAATAAATATTTATGAAAGGGAGGATTATTGTTGGCATTCTATTCAAATATGCTCCTCTTAGTCTTTCTCTTGTTGATTTTTTCCCCTTCCCTTCCCTTCCCTTCCCTTCCCTTCCCTTCCCTTCCCTTCCCACCTTTTTCTCTCTTTCCTTCCTCTCTTTCTTCTTTGTATTACCTTTTTTCTAACTTGATTTTTAGCCTTGCTCAGGGCATTCGGAGGCAGTTTTATTTTTAACACCACCCTAAGGGCCAGGAATCTATAGTGTGCATCCAGAACAGGCACACATGATGGAATGACAGTCTCGGCCGGACAAGGCAGGAGGGTGAAGTGGACTATGCTTACCTTTAGTTTTCTTCTGTTCTTTATTTCCTCCCCCCTGTACTTCTATCCCTACTGTTGAAACTTATCTGACATTTGACTCATAGTCTTATTTGTATATCATTTCTTTTCCCCAGCTAGCTGCTAAAAATCCTTGCTGAGGTGTTCACAAGTATTAAAGTACAGTCATCCCTCAGTATCCTGGTTCCAGGCCTCCATGGACACCAAAATCTGTGGACACTCAAGTGTTTTATAGAAAATGGCATATTATTTGCGTATAAGCCGTATACTTTAAATCATCTCTCAATTACTTATAATACCTAGTACAATGTAAATGCTATATAAATAGTTGTTATACTGTATTATTCAGGGTATAATGATAAGAAAAAAGTCTGGACATGTTCAATACAGAAACAACCATCATAGGCCTAACTGCATAGTACACATTAGCAACAATGTAATTTTTTTCAAATATTTTTGACCCGGGGTTGGTTGAATCTGTGGTTGGTTGAATCCGCGGGTGCAGAACCCGAGGACACCGACGGCCGAGTGTAGTGTTGTGAATCTGCATGTTCAAATGTGTTGTGTGTTTTCATTTCAAATGAATCACTGCATGACGTGTAGTGAGTCTGACATTTTGGAACCAAGGAGCTACCTACTCTGCTACCTCATAACCTCAGCTGTGGGCCTGGTGGTTATAGAATTATTACTGTAGGAAGGGTTTGTGGGCTAGATCAAGAAGGAGGGGGCAGAGCCTGTGAAGACTCAGCCTGTCCCCCTCCCACCTTGTGCCACCATGCTGCACAGTTCCAGGGAGAGCCACCATTCCTGCTGTGTCGTATGTGAGTGGCGTTCTCTGGGTCCTACCATTCCAGATCATATCTTTACTCCACGTCCCGGAACCCTGGCTCAGGGGAATGTTACCTATGACGACGATGGACATTATACCTATGACGATGGGCAATGGACAGCTGACATTCTCTACTCCAAAAGGGGACTATAGAAACATTTGGACTGACATTACCTTGGCAGGGGTTGTGACCTTATCCACGGATTGCTTTTCCCAGAGGTTCCGCTTGCCAGATACGTCTCCTGGCCTCAAATCCTAATGAAGAGAAAGCAGAATAAAATTAATACGTGGCCCTATATATTCTCTGCCAGGTCTAAATAAGTCACCACATCTGTGTTTGTTGGTTTGAATCGATTTCTTGTTAATACACTTTATCCTAGTGATCAGAAATGGATGGCATTGAAAGGATCATGAGCCATTGTTTTTATAATAGTCCTGGACCAGGTTATGACATGAGAATAGGCTGGAACTATCCAGCCTTTAGGGCCTGTTCTTCATCAAGGACTTACTGCTTATGGATCAGTAAAATTGGAACACAGGCATATTTAAAATAATATAGCCTATTTTTAACTTTCTATGCTCTTAGAAGTGAATACAGTATAGGTTGGTTTTAAATACAATTGACTCTTGAACAACGTGGGGGTTAGGGGCGCCCACTCCTCCCCACACCTCTGTGCAGTAGGAAATCTGCATCAAACTTCTAATGGCACTTCCCTCAGACTAAAGTAATTTTGTGTTTCCTGCGGAGTGAGTGGATAACTCAGAAGTGCATCGGTAGAACCTAGCCCCATCAGAGTAAACACTGACCACAAACTGCACCCGTAAGAGAAACTGACACTTAATAACATATGTGAGAACATGTGGAAATCTCGGGGAGAGAACAGTTATATAGCTTTGATTCTTTATTTGCTACCTCGAAATTAATTTGGTTTGGACAAGGAGCCACATTTCTGTTTCCATTTACTTTTCTTCCAGCATGTGCTTGGCAAAAGGTAGTTTGTAGAATATAAATGTGTTTTAACTGAAATAGTCATGTTTATTTTGGCACATCCTTTTCTCATTAGGAAGGCAAAGCGAACAGCAACTGCATTTATCCATGGACACCAGTCTAAATGGGCATGTTTTGACAGATAGTAGGGAGGGCTCAACACTGAAAGTGCACTGATTAAATGGTACCATGTGAAGCATTTCAGATTTTTAATTTTATTTTTTTGCATTTCAGATTTGCCTTAATCCTACTGAGTTTCTGGAGTTCCACTGTGGCACAAATTCCTGATATCCTATTAGAGAGCTACACCTATTTAACTTGGAACCAGTAAGCAACAAATCAGGTTGTTTTTGAAGGGTTCCACTACTTTTGCCAATGTAGGGAGAAGCTGCCAAATTGTCTGGAAGACTGTTTTAAAGTTTTGGAAACTATAATTAGGCACATGCTGATGGAAGCTCTGGAAAGTGGCTATTATTACTTTATTTATTTGATTCATAGAAGACAAATATTTTTCTTTCACATGAATGTTCTACAGAAGAAAACGGACTGTAGTTCCCTTCAATCTTCCCTATGAATCTTTTGAGATCAATTAAAGAGCCTATTTTAAGAAAATATGAACATCCAAGTAGTGAGTTGGCATTTTAAATCAAAGGGGAAATAGAAACGCAATTACCTGACCAGACTACATTTTAGACAAAGACCCAGTCCGGGAGAAGAGGGAGAAATGAAGGCAGGAGAGGCAGGTTTCCAGTCACCCAGAGATCAAAGAATGAAGAAGAGAATTCAGCTGAGAAAGACATGGTTGTTGTTGTTGTTGTTTTTTAAACAAAAAGAAAGACAAATTAGCATTTAGCTGCATGTAACATGTAGTTTAGACAACAAAGAACAGACAAACCAGCTAAAACAGGCATACTCAGAATTGAATTCTGGTTACAAAATTACACCGAAATCCCGTAAATTCTGCCCACAAATAGCAAAGCGATGTCCCAGGAAGGGATCAGATGTGGATCAATGTTTGTTTTTAAATAAGTTAATTTTCAGGGACCCCCCCCCCCAAATAATATTGGTTTGACAAACTATTTTGAGCACGTTTACTTCCTAGCATGTTTGGAAATTATTATACAACTTGGTAAAGGATGGTTGTTCTGTCCAGTGAGTTTTGGAACTAAACACTCATCTCAAAGGAAACACTAATTTCCTTCCTCTTGAGGTTTCACTGGGTGAGGACCATTTTGGTGAAAGAATCTCCCTCTGTTTTTCTTCAATGGCCACCTGCCACACATCTGCAAACGCAAGCCCAGGCTTTCCTCTCCAGCCACATACACCAAGGAAGATAAGCAAGGGACAGGGAATAAATCCCCTGGGGTCCAGACTCAGATGGCACCTTCGGGGCGTACTGTTTGCTGTTGTCTTTAGGTAACCCTAACATTCTGGGCTCAGAGCTCAGAGCTCAGAGTCAGTATGGCTGGGGACCCAAAGGTGTCAAACTCAGAGGCCTGCCATGAAGGGCCAGGCTGGAAACTCAAAGGCCATGAAAAGGCTTGTTGTAAACAAATAAGGAAAAGAGGGAATCAACAAATTCAGGAGTACATGCCTCCACACTTCAAAAATGTGTTCAAATTACAATTTTTAGAAGGAAAATAAAGCACAATGGTGTGGGTCAAACTACACAAATCTTACTGTGAGGCCCCTGATAAGACCTGGGCAAGATCTTTGCTTGACCTGCCTATTTATTTATTTATTTTTTTGACCTGCCTTTTTAAGCTGCATTGCTGGACTTAACCTTTGGCCAGCCAAGTTTTATGCATCTGTAGGACCCTTCTAGGCCTTTCTGCAGCTCGGAAATGTCATCTTTTTCTGCTGGATCTGTAGTGTCTGTGAGTTACCGTCCTGCCTTCCTGGGTCCAGGTCACATCTTTCCCAGAGAGACTGACTGCCATGCTGCTATTCAGATCTTGACAAGAGCTGGCTCTGTCACCCGTGAACTGGTCACCAAGCTGAACGTGGCTGGTTAAGTCTACTCACACTGGCTTTTCATGTACAACAGCAACTACCTACTGCTCTCTTCCAATCTGGCTTTCACTCAGGAGGTTACCCTCGTCTGCAAAATCCAGTGGGTCATAGGAAAAGAGATCACTACAACCTGTGTGATTGCCACTCTTCTTTCCTTTTCCTTCTGTCCTTTAGGAGATGGTCTAGCACAGTGATGGTGAACCTTTTGAGCTCGGCGTGTCAGCATTTTGAAAAACCCTAACTTAACTCTGGTGCCGTGTCACATATAGAAATTTTTTGATATTCGCAACCATAGTAAAACAAAGACTTATATTTTTGATATTTATTTTATATATTTAAATGCCATTTAACAAAGAAAAATCAACCAAAAAAATGAGTTCGCGTGTCACCTCTGACATGCGTGTCATAGGTTCGCCATCACTGGTCTAGCAACTCAGTCACTAACTGGTAGGTAAAGCAGGCAATGCTTTCCGAATTTCCCTGTCCTTTCCAAGACCTTTTTGTCCTGCCGTTTTTATGATGCTATCAGTTACCCCTGAGAATGGGGCTTTTTGTGGAAGCCTTGACATTATAACTGAATTGAATTTCTTTTAACTCTCCCATTAGGATGACATAGACGGTGATAGGCTTGGTAAAATCTGGTACAGAAATGAAATATGTCACAAGTAAAATAAACACAAAAAAGTGACCAGGTTCTCTAGCAATGTGCCAAATTCATCAAAGAGGAAAACACACCTTCCTCTCTTTATCGTTGCTAATTTGAGAGTTCTTCAGTGGGTCCATGAACTTCCGGGACTCGAGTGATATACATGTATCAGGGGAGAAGGCCCTCAGATTCATAGGTTTTCAAAAGGCTCCATAATTCAAAAAGGTTAATAATCACTGGTCTGGGGCCACAAAATTTACATAAAGTTCCATTAAAAAATAACTCCTACTCTATATGTCACCTTGGGTTCGGGGCAATAAAGAGCAAACACCTTGTGGGTAGGACCCCTCCCCCCTCGACTCTCTCCTTCTATAGCTTCCCTCCCCTCTATTTACCGGGAGAGGGGAAAATATATATTTTTCAATATATAAAGACTTTCTGATGGTAAATTGGGTTTACATTAGTTTTATACCTCATGTGAGCCCTTATGCAAAAAATCCTGACTATTAATTAGGTGACTATAAGGGGTTGCACTCAAGAAGTGTAGACAATATTTCCATTTTTTCTTCTTAAATTGGAATTGAGAACCTCTAGTGACTTTGGAGATTAAATATGGAGCCACTGGATACAATGAAATGCTGAGTGGCACAGAGGTCTAGGATTTGGAAAGCGTTATCTACCTCTGCGATGGGATAGTTAGGACAGTTGAGTCTCTGCTCCTTTGGGCACCGAGGCATATATAAAAGCCAACTTAACAGAGAAAGCTCACCAACGTACACAGTAGGAGCTTAATAAGGCTCTTTATCATAATGATAAATGCAAGGCAATTATCGTATATATTCAATGAAAGGTTAAAAGAATATTTTTATAGTAAATAGTCACACTTAATAAATATTAAGAAAAATTTAGATTTCCAAAAATAACAAGCTCTTATAGTTTCCAGTTTTACTGTGTTTTTCAAAATGGCTTTTCTTTGGAGGTGTTGACAAAAAAAAAAAATTATGGCAATTACTTCAACAACTACCTAAAAATGGCATTTTTTTTGTATTAAGTTACATAAATTAGGCAAATTAGAAACCATGGGTTCAAAATAGCCAACATACACTTCCTTTGGGGAATAAATTTAGAGGTGCTTTCGACAGAGAAGTGGCCAAGATAATTTGACATTTTCATTTTCTAATTCCCAGCCGTAAATTTATAGAATAGGAGCTAAACACACAGACCAGCAAAGAGTGTAAATTTGAGCGGCCTCTGCGTTCTGGTTAATTACGGCCTCTGGGCGATTGTGGGGCAGCTGCTTGGGGCTGTTTTTATAGAATAGGAGCTAAACACACAGACCAGGAAAGAGTGTAAATTTGAGCGGCCTCGGGTTCTGGTTAATTACAGCCTCTGGGCGATTGTGGGGCAGCTGCTTGGGGCTGTTCTCTCTAAATCTGAACCCCTCCTTGTTTGTTCCTCAGCATGGACAGCAGAGACAGGAGCACTGCCTTTCCCAGGCAAACAGACCAACAGCCTGATTTCTCCTGCTGCTGGGAGCTGAGAGATCAAGGAAATCCAGAAAACCCAGAGCTACTTACCGACGGTTTGGGAGCAGGTGACCTGTTCCCGTCTGGGGTCTTAGTTAGCCATTCATTGATGCGGCTGGAAACCCCCACCTTCAAGCCAGCAGTTTCCTGCAAGGAGTCAACCATCCAATATTAAAGACAAAGACAAACTTTACCTGGAAAGAAATCTCCAAAGAAACCTCAAATAATACTATTGCTTGTTATTATTTCATGTAACCATCCCGTAATGCCAATGAATGATTGCTTGTTATGATCAATATTTTGAGTGAAATGAACCTTAAACTTGATATTTAAAGAATGTTATCTGGTTTGCTTGCCCCCGCACCTCACCCCAACCCAACCCACCCCACCCCAACCCCAAGGTTGATGATTAATTTCAAGAACTCAATTTAGGAAAGTGGCCAGAGCGTAGGAGTACACACTGTGTAGCATCTGTAAGCTTGCTTTTATGGTTGTTGCAAAAGAAAGTAAGAATTACACCTTCTCCGCTGCTTTTATAATGAGCTAATGTGGTTTGCTAAAAAGAAAAAAGAAAAGGAAAAGAAACCCACCCTCCAAAATTAAAAGACGGAGCTCACCTTGTTTGGCGTGCCTGAGGCGGTGGGGGATGAAAACACATTCCCTTTCTCCCACATGCTCTTGATATTGCGGACACCCTCAGCAGGAACAGGAAGGTCCGAGGCTGCTGGCTTCGTGGGTTTTGCAGCTTTTGTCCCCTGAAGTGTGTGAATTATCTTTAGGATTGTGCTAAGTTTGTTCTTGTCAAGTACTCTCTTCCTCGACAGTATCATTTAAAAGAGTCATTGTCTAAATGCCTTCACCAAAAAAGGACAGTCATTTCTGTTGTAAAACTGCAGTCTAATGACATTTGTACCAAAAAATCCACCCTGAGATCTAGATCAGAGGGTCTTTCAAAAATGAAATATGCTTTTTTATTGGGATGCTATTTATTGTGTAAGTGATATTCTACTTCATTTCTTCAACAGATACCTCAGTGCCTACTGGGTGCAGGACACTGTCTAGGTAGGCGCTGGTGTTATAGTGGTACCCAAAACAATACAGTCTGCTCCGTAAGCTGCAGTGGACTTACATTTTAATAGGACAGGAAGATAGTAATTGATGACATAAGTATATATTTCACATTTCGGTGTGTTATGAAAGATAAATGTAGTGTCATAAAGCATGCCACAAGAGCACACAATAGGGGAATAATAATAATATAATAGGGAGCAAAAAAGGCTACTGTGAGGAAGTGACATTTAAACCCAGATTGATGGAAGACTTGGAAGTGGCTAGGTAAAAGGAGGCACACACACCATTCCATGGAGAGAGAACAGCATATGCAAAGGACCGGAGACAGGGATACGATAAAGGATTGAAAGAGTGAGAGGCCACTTTATGGAGAATATCCTGGGAGGAGGAAAGAATGGATGTAAGGAAGAAAAGTGTGCATTTGAGATACTTTTCTGCAGTAGTGATGGGCATGCCCAGAATCATGCAATTTCCTGCCTGGTCCTGCTTTGTAACCGGTGGCCTGTGTGGTCGAGGTGGTCAGCCATGGTGAGTGGCACCATCACTGGACCATGTAAAGGCTGAAGCCACAGTCTTGGCTTCATCAACCCTCTTAGAGCTATAATAAATGTAACCACAGAAAATAACTATCTGCAATTTGTCTTATATTTTAGTGGACATTTAATCTTGTGAAAATCACCTCTTGAGTATTAGGACTTGGTTATTCATTTGATAAATCATTCAGATCTCATTTTTATTCCCTTATAATTTATTTGATTGTGAATTATTTTATACTTATGTCCACTCTGCAGTATAAAGGAGAGGAGGAAATCAAATCAAGCTTATCCAATTCCTTCATAGCAGATGTTCTGACATAGAAGCTGGCTAAAATCAGTGCCTAAAGCAGCTGTGGGCAAACTACGGCCCGCGGGCTGGATCCGGCCCGTTTGAAATGAATAAAACTAAAAAAAAAAAAAAAAGACCGTACCCTTTTATGTAATGATGTTTACTTTGAATTTATATTAGTTCACACAAACACTCCATCCATGCTTTTGTTCCGGCCCTCCGGTCCAGTTTAAGAACCCATTGTGGCCCTCGAGTCAAAAAGTTTGCCCACCCCTGGCCTAAAGTCTACACAAAGGAGAAAAAACTAGGATCACACATTGATTAATGGTATCCTACCTTCTTAGAGCTTTGGTACTTGGAAATATACATTATTTCTAAATGTGGTAGAACCCCTGGGTCAACTTTGTGGGAAAAAGTTGGAATAGACAGAAGCATATAACTATGATCCTATAAGCATAAAATAATCAATTTGAAATTCATGGTGATTAAACTCTAGCTGGCAATCATCTTTATATTAACTCATACTATCACTATTACTGTTTGAACATAAAAGTTTTTATAGACAAATAAGGATTAACCAAGGTTACATGGGACCTGTTTAACTACATATAGGAACATATTTTATAAGGAATTACTATTAGAAGATACACATACTAACATATAAATAACATAGTTGAATATCAATAAGCCTATTCCTTAAAAGAATAACACCTCCATTAAAGAATACTCAGGCTGAAGGTAGTAAATAATAATTTATTTAAAACCCTTCTATAATTTACCTTTATTACTGTTCTTCTCTCTAACTAGTTTCAAGTATAATAAAGCATTATTAATGTTCTAACACTAATGTGGTTATTAGACTTGCTTATTGTCCTAAACGTTTCTATGATCATTTACACAATCAGAGCTGATTTCTGTTTGAGCATAACCCTGCGGACATCGCTCACCTCAATGGCACTGGTGTATTGCTCCAGTCTGCTGTCAATCTTGGAGACAACAGCCGCTTGATGAGTTGATTTGACACCACTGTTAAGTAAATAAACACACACATAAAGATATGAGAGAAAATCTTTCCATACATATGATGGCTGGTGATTCTCCAGTGAACAATCAACCATATTTACCTTTTCTGCACAGACTTATTCAAAAATTCTGCTCGCTCTTCTATCTAGGAATTAAAAAACAACAACAGTTAATATTTTCAGCTCATAAACAGTGTCCCTGACCCTGGTGAAGGAAAGCACCAAAGAGTGTCAAAGGGTTTTAATTCGGATGCTGTGCCAGAGAGGAAAATGCATATAAGGTGTTGGATCATGAGAGCTGAGAGATGAAGAGAAGATTGGCAGAGGATAGAGAAAGTGTGGAGAGGAATATGAATTTCTGGAGGCAAACTGAAGACCAGACAGAAATGGAGTAAAAATGCCTTTGAGATAATTTAAATCAATGGTAAAATAATTGCATTTCAAGACCATAGCAATAATTTCTTTTTTGCCTCCTGGCATACTTTAAAATTTTTTCTACTTATTTCTTTATTAAGGTATAATTGACATGTAATATTATATTATTAGTAGTTTCAGGTGTACAACATAATGATTTAATATTTGAATATATTGCAAAATGATCACCACAATAAGTCTAGTTAATATCCATCACCTGACAACATTGTTTTTTTCTTTTTGTGATGAGAACTTTTAAGATCTACTTTCTTAGCAACAATTTAAAAAACAATACATGCTGTTACCCTTTAGGACATGTTTTTATGAGTATAGATATACCATGCTCTTTGATTAAGAAAAACTTCCACAATGTTTTGACCATATATTTGGTATGTAATAGGGTCAAATAAGAAAGATAACCAGGGACTGGGAACTATTCACTCAGGGCCTAGCCTGGTTTCCTGATTTGATAGCTGTCAAGCCTCTTGCTGAACTTAATTTGCCCTGAAAGTAGAAGATGGGGTGGGGGTGGAGTGAGATTGGGGCACAGCTCATCAGTGATGGCTGAGGCCTCCCACAAAGCCCCCATTAGCCCAAATGGGAAACAAGAAAATAAACCCAGAGAAATTGTGATGGATATACACTAGTTGGGCAGTTCATTAGTCTTTAATATATTCTTTTTTTTTTTAAAGCTAGGAACTTCTTTTTGCTAAAACTAAAGCTACTAAATCAAACATTATATTTTACTGAAACGGCACCACCTAAATCCAGATGTTCTTTATAGTCAGCAAATATTGTTGACTCCTTATGATACCCAACTCCAGGCTGGAAATAATCTCTGCCACACATCACCTGTCAGTATTAGCAAACAGTTGTGACCAAGAAAGTGCTATAGGTGTCCCTGAGATTATGGGGTGTAGAGAATCTTAAATCTTAATTTTTTAAATTTTAATATAAACTTAAAACTTTAAACTAATATAAACTTCTAGAGAAAAAGTTCCCAGTTGAATAAGCTGAAATACACACAATGCACTGGAACTTTTAATATTATCCATCCATCCATCCATCCATCCATCCATCCATCCATCCATCCTACCTTTAACCTTGTCAGCCTATCAGTCAAACAACCAACCAATAAATTATGTTGAAAACCTACTACATAAAGTTCAACACCCAATGATGTATTAGATTCTTTAAAGAGAACACATTTTATTAGGAGAGACTAGTAGAACCTAGAAATAAAATGTTTAAAATTCAATGCTGGTACCATATTAAGGATAGGACAATGCTGTAGCTATGGGAGAAGTGACTACCTGGGGGAGGGGGAGAGGGGTTGGAGAAGGTTTTTGAGATATTTTGATACCTGAGCTGAGATTTGTAGTTTATTGTTTACATAGTTTTATAAATGAGTTTATGAAAGTGAGGGTGGGAGTGCATGAGTTAAAGGGCAGAGGACATTTCTAGCAGACAGAAGCACAGTGGAGGGTGGTGCCAGAGGTGAGACTTGTTCTTGGTAGCACTTCCAGCATCATTCGAGTCAGGGATCATTTTGTTAATCTTGGCCATCACATATACTCAAATTACAGAGGCTCTCAGATTCCACCTTCTCCTTTCCTATCTACAATATTTAATACAGCTTGACTTCATTATCACATTTTGTCCGGCCTCACCATCTATTTACTGATGCACTCTTGTTGGAAAATTCCTGAACTTGGTGACTCTAGGTAATATAACAATATGTAAATTAAACATTCTGTACAATTTTAATGAGGAACATTGGTTCTTCTGAAGGCCAATGGTAGCAGTGTTGTCTGGATAAAACCTGGCGAAAAAGCGTACTATTATTTTCTCCTTACTCCATACTCCCTCCACCACCAACATATGAAAACAATAACAATAAAAACAAAATTTTAAATTTATTTTACTTAAAATTTATTCTTTGCATGTATTATGTAAAAAAAAATCAAACCATCACTGCTAACATCATTGAACTACGAGCAACCAGGTTCAGGGTTTTCCAGACAATGAATAGAAGTCATGAGAATTAACAAAATACATTAGTTGATATTATTTTGAGGTCAAATATGAAATGTTTTTCCTCCCACTGGCATTCTAGAATGTTAACTTGTGAGCAGTTATAAAAGTTGCAGGGCCAAGAGTATCAACAATTGCAAAAATTCAATTGTAGAATATGAACCTGTTACTGTTGTAATTAGCTAGTTATCAATATTAAAACGGGAAAGGAGCAAAGGGAAGGCCAGACATTATAAGCATGGTCATCTGGGCAGCTTCACCAGGACGCTGCAACTTTACACTCCCCAGGGAACCACTGGTCCATTCCCTGCAGTTCACTGCGGAAAGGGATCCAACAAAGGGGAAGATGGATGCATGCGCAATGAAGTCAGGGGTGACATAGGGAAGATGTTTGCCTGTCAGTCTAACCTGGAAACGAAGATAATTGGTTAGAGGGGGTGGAGCCACTGTAAGCGTACGAAATCCTGAAGGATTAATTGGATAAGGCCGTGGTTAAAATCCCCAAACAGAAATACTCTCTCTCTTGTTCCACTTGCTTCGCTCTTGCTTCCTGACACTTGCTTTTTCCATGATCTGCGCTAGCCTGCCATGTGGCCTGAAGCAGTCGCATGGCTCATGGCATGCGGACCCCATACACAATGGACTGCAGCTAGAACACAAGCTAAGCTAGCCAGGTGCTGGACTGGACTGGACTGGGCTTCAACATGGAGCAGAGGCTCCAGGCAGTGGCGTTAATCCTAGCTCTGCTGAAGACAAAATGGGACTTTTTCATGGCGGGACTTAGGGAGATGGGATCCTGAAGGTGAACTCCCTTAATGTTACCTCATCATTAAAGCGTTCCATAATACCTCATCCTCCCGTGGGAGCCTCAGGAAATTCTTATTCCTGTGGCATCCCAAGAAGCCCACTTCTACCAGCAACAGGTTAGGAAATTAGAGGACACCCACCCATAACAAAAGCAGAGCCACACAAGCTCTTCAAAGCACACACTATGGTGCAAGAAACTGTCCGTTTCTGAAAGCATGTCTCTGTTGTATAGAAGTTTAAAATGTTTTGCTTTGCAAATGCATCTACTTTGACTGCTCACACATGCCTCTCTTCTAGAGGAAGTAGCTAAATGGCCCCCTGGGGGCCCAGGAGTCTGGTTGATGGAAAGACTAGGGAAGTAAGTTGAAAAACCTGGTTGAGAGGAGATATTTGAAGGAGGAGGATGGATTGTAGTTTCTCCTGAACAAAGAGTAGAAATGAGAAGTCTAGGTCACTACCATTTTCCTCGTGTTACCAAGACTGTCCAAGGAACGTTCAGCTTGGGTGGGATTTAGAGGGAAATAGAAAATGTGGCCCTAGCTGTTATGCCTCAGTGGATAGAGCGTTGGCCTGCGAACTGAAGGGTCCCAGGTTCGATTCTGGTCAAGGGCACATGCCCGGGTTGCGGGCTTAATTCCCAGTAGGGGGTGTGCAGGAGGGAGCCGATCAATGATTCTCTCTCATCATTGATGCTCTGTATCTCTCTCCCTCTCCCTTCCCTCTGAAATCAATAAAAATCTATTTTTTTTTTTTAAAAAAAATGTGGTTTTCTTTCAATATTGATGAGTCAGGAACAAAAGGGCCTGGATCAGGAGCAGAAAGGACACCAGTGGCTGCACGGAGGTAGCCTGAACCGAGCGCGGTTCTGACTTGCAGGCCTTGCTTTTCACATAGCTCTCAAACTAAGAATGTTTTATATTGTCAAATGGTTGAAAAAAATCAAAAGAAGGGTAATATTTTGTGACACAAAAAAATTCTGTGAAATTCAAATTTTGGCATCCCTAAATGAAGCTCACTTACTCTACAAAGCCGCCCGCTCCTCATTCTGTCAGCTCTGAGATCTCACTTCTGTGGTAGTCTGTATTAAATAATAACATTCCCCGGTGGCTTAGTTTGGATTCCCCCTCAAAAAGACCTTGCCCATAAGTAGTTTCTTTGAGATGTATCAGAACTATGAAGGGGCCCAAAAGTACATGAAGAATAAGTGAGATTATTTAGGGATAAAACATGCTGATTTTCATATGAAACAGGTAATAACTGTAAAATGTAACTGTTTTTTGGTCATTTTCGTGTGTCAAGTGATAAAACCTCACACACATTGATAGACAGACAGACAGACAGACACACACACACACACACACACACACACACACACTTTGACCGGCTAGAGCCTGGCTGTGATTCTGTACTGGCTTTGCCCATTATCAATGCTTTGTGACCTAACAAGGTTGATGGAAAATGAAGGTGAAATAAAAGGTTAAGAGTTCCTATCTCTGAAGAGTCATTCATTCCTATATCCATTCATTCATATATCCACATACTTATTGAGTATATTAACTGTGCCGGGAGCTCAATGCATGTTAACTCTCATGAACAGAAAATGTATTTAAAAGCAATGGCAGATTGAATGTAGATCACAGTACTTTCTTGAGTCTGTGCTCTTTTCCCATCTTAACCCATTATTCCCTTAAATCAGTTTTCCCCACTCGTTCTCGTCTGTCAGCACTTCTGTCTGACATCGATTAGGAGCTATGCTCCATGAAGGCAGTAGTAGGACCAAACTCATCCTGGCAAAGGACCCTTCCAAGTCGAATCTCCTCCCCTATAATAGCTTTCAAATTTGAACGGTACCATTTCCAGCTGCCCTGCTTTAATAAAGACAAAGAAAAAATGATTGGCGAGTGTGAAAAACAGCATAACCTTTACAATGTATTTGCCATTTTATAAATGTTTCCCTTTCCAACTGCTCAAAGCAACGAGGCAGCTGGGGAGCGTGGGTCAGTGAGATCCAGAGATAATCGCTGATGGCCTTTTTAACGTGTACCAAAGCATCTAATAAACAACAGATACACATTTCCCCACTTTATTTCTCTCTTTTGCATATGTTGAAAACAAAGAAAAGCTGTGAAATAGCTGAACGAAGGAGCAAAAAGATGAATGGAGCAAAGGCTTGGGATAATCAATAACTTAAAGGCTAAAATCAAGTTTCTAAGATACTATAGTAGCGGTATTAAAAGGAGGATTTTCTGGGGGGAAAATACCTTGAGAGATGAACCTTTGGGAGTGAAACATTTGAAAGGTTTCTTGTCCTCTGCTAAGCCATCTTCGGGCATCTTCTGCCGTTTCTCAGCAGCTTCTGCCCTTCGCCTTTCAATCTCCTCCTTTAGCCTCCTCTTCTCTTCCTTAAGAGGGAAAGAGCAAGTAACAAAGACATCAACATCAGGTTCAAGCCCAGGGGAATGGGTGCTGTAGAAGAAAGGGCACAAGTCCCAGAGAAAAAAGACCCAGGTTCTAGAATGAATGCACTGGGTCCTCAAGGGTGGTCACTAGAGGTTAAACCTGGTGCTGCCACTTCCCAACTGCGACCTTGACCACATTACTTATCTGCTCTGTGCCTCAGTCTCTTCATCTGTAAAATGGGGATAATAATAGAAACCACTGAACAGGGCTTTAATGAGCCCATGTAAAATGCTTAGACTAGTGCTCAGTATGGTGATCACCATTATCATCATCCTGTCAAGTCATTTAACATTGACCTTTCACTTCTGAATTATGTGAAATTCATATAAATATCTCACCTTCCTAGTTCCTAGGAGAGTGTGAAGACAAGTGAGACAACTTATGTGCAAAGTTATATAAATCTATGGTACCACATTTGTCAAATTGTACAAGAGATGATTTTATGGTTGTGCCTACCTCAACAGAGTAGATTATTTTAGATGGTTTGACAAACCTGAAATGAGGTAGGTATTGCACCATAGTGGTGAAATCACAGATATTCACAACCTGTCTCATTACCCCTCTGTGCCTTCATTCCTGGCCTAAAATAGTGTCCCCTACTTCTCTCTCAGGCAAAAACTCCAGATCTCTGATTAAGTCACACATCCTCTGTGAACGATTTTGAGAGATTTAGATGGTCTTTTGTAATTTTCAAATTGTGAGATCTGTTTCACTGGATGTTCTCAAGAAGAGAATTTATGTCCACCTGTCAGAGGATGTTGCAGAAGGATCCTGTGTGTTATAGACTATATGTTTGTGTCTCCCCAAAATTCATAGGTTGAAATCCAAACCCCCAGTGTGACAACATTAACAGGTGATTAGGTCTTGCGGGTGAAGCTCCCATGAGTGGGATTAGTGCCTTAAAAAAAGACCCCAGAGAGCTCCCTGGCTCCTTCCACCACGTAAGGACACAGCGAGATAATGGCCGTCTATGACCAGAAGCTTCCCCTCACCAGGCACAGAATCTGCAGGCCTTGCTCTTGGACTTCTCAGCCTCGAGAACTGTGAGAAATAATTTCTGTTGCTTTTAAGCCATGCAGTCTACATTTTATTGGCAGGAGGTGAGAAAAAATAATCTCCAACTCAATCCAATCCTAAGAATTCATTCTGCCTTCACTGGTAATCTCCTCTAACTAATAATAACAATGATTATAACTGCCACTTCCTCAGGGCCTATGAGGTACCAGGCACTGTGAATACAATGACCTATTTAGTCATCACAACATCTTGAAAGTAGGTGTTTCACAGATAAGGAAGAGAAGGCTCAGAGTCTTCCAGTAACTCTCCCAAGGTCCAAGCTTGCAAGGGGCTGTCAGGATACGAGCCCAGGTATGTTTGGTTCTAACACTCTGGTTCTAACGCTCTTTCATCCCCATTACTTCCCAACCAGAGATCATTGGCGCATGGACAGCTGGACTTGGAAGAGATTTTGGAACCATTTATCCAAACTTTCCACACAGTTTAGGGAATGTTTACATAGGACCCAAGTCAGAAAGAAACGAAGTCTTTCTGCATCTTTTGGATGATGGGAGATCAGTGTTCCCTAAGATTAGTGAGAAGAGTTCCAGGCTGCCGGAGTCCATTCATTGTCTTCACTAGCTGAGTTTAGACAGAGACCCCCAAAAGCTAGTAACCTTTGAAGTCCTAGCAGAGGTCAGAACTGTGCACCACCCAGTTAATCTAGGAACCACCCAGTTAATTTAGGTAATAATAGTTGAAGCATCATCCCCACCTTAGTTCACTTAATTCCTTAGATACTTATGTAGATCCTTGTTGATTATTGTTGATCAGATACTCTGCCTATTCCTGGAAATCATCTACTGATGAGCTAATCAGATACTTTGTCTATTCCTGGAAATTGTCTGCTGATCTGTGTGTCATTGAAACCTCCTTACCCTAAGGGCTACTCCAGATCAATAAAAGATTGGAGCAGCCTGAGCATGGGTGGAAGTCCTTCGGGACTGGCCCGCCTGGTCCTCCAATATTGCAAAATTATCTCGTGTCATTTCTCTCTCATTTGTTGTGTGGCTCCTCTTTCAGATACCGAACCCTACTCCATGCAGAACGTGGAGGGAGTGTTACTCGACACAGGCTAATGTGCAGAAGCTGGGTCCCAATACTGATCCGACCATGTATTAGTCAAGTAACTTCACACAAGCCACTCAAACCAATTTCACTGCAATTAGCTAATTATTAATATTAATAATAGGAAAGGAGCCAAGGGGAGGCCAGCGTATTAGTCAAGTAACTTCACACAAGCCACTTAAACCAATTTCACTGCAATTAGCTAATATTAATAATAGGAAAGGAGCCAAGGGGAGGCCAGGCATGATAAGCATGGTCATCTGGGCAGCTTCACCAGGAAGCTGCAACTTCATGCTCCACAGTGAACCACCGGTCTATTCCCTGCAAATCACTGGGGGACAAAGGAGAAGGAGGATGCATGTGCAGTAAAGTCGGGGTGACGTAGGGAAGGTGCTTGTCTGGCAGTCTAACCTGGAAACAAAGATAACTGGCTGGAGGGCTGGAGCCACTTTCAGTGCGAAATCTTAGGTTAAAACCCTGAGACAAAGGGATTCTCTCTTTCTTGTTTCTCTTGCTTTGCTCCTGCTTCTTGCACTCACCCATGTTCCCTCCATAGTCACGTGGCCCTAGAAGCCACATGCCTGGCCCACAAAATGTGAACCGCACATGCAATGGACTGCAGCTGGGAACACAAGCTGAGCTAGCCTGGTGCTGGCCTGGACTGTGCAAACGGAACGGAAACTCTGGTCACTGGCCTTAATCCTCGCTCTGCTGAGGACGAAACGGGACTCTTTCCTTGGCAGATGGAGGGAGATGGGACCTTGGAAACTCAGGGGTTTAATTCCACAGAAATAAAACTTTCCACGATACCTCATCCTCCCAGGGGGCCTCCGGAAATTCTTATTCCAGCTGCACCCCAAGAAGCCCACTTCCTTTGGCAACCAGTGGGGACACAGAGAGCACCCCACTGATAACAAAACGATTGGATTTCCATTTCTTTGCTCATAAAATGAGAATAATAATGTACCTCAGGATGAAAGAAAAATGGGCACCTTGTAAAAAATAGCAATGTAAGTTGTAGGTGGTTAAGCACTTTTTCAGTTTTCAAAATAGCCTTTTGGTAACTTTATTTGTTGTTTTCAATTCTGTCTTAAAATATGGAACAAATTCATGGGCTCATAATTACTGGGTTCCTGCTACATGCCTGGCACTGTGTTTGTTTCCTGGGTATACAGCGATGAACAGAGCACATACTGTCCCCTGACTGAACATCTAGACTCTTCCACTAAAAAAGCCCAAAACCTATTTTTAAAAACTTCTCTATAAAAATTCTTCAAATGTCCAAAAAAACAACCATCATGTGACTCTTGATTCTTGTAACTAATCTGCAGACCCTTTTCCATCCTTCTCTGCTCTCTACAGTTCTTTATGGAGGGACAGTATAGGGTAATGGAGTAAGACAAGTGGGGCCTTGGGAAAATTACAAAACGAACAAACAGAAAAACATGTCTCTGTGCCTCACTTTACTCATCTGTAAAATGGGGACAAGACTACCTGTTCTGATGAGAATTGGATAAATTAATATGTATAAAGGTTTTGGGACCATGCTTAGCACACAGTTAAGTTTACTATCCTTAAAATGTATTCGTAGAGTCCATGCTCAAAAGAGCAGCAGCATTTCATTTCACCAGGGAAGAAATTGTCCCCTGGGCCAGAAGGGTCACCAGAGATAGGCATTCAGGGGCTTGAGTGAGTTGGGGTGCCGGGCTGCGCTCTCCTTACCTCCTCTCTGACTTTTCGCTCTGCTTCCTCCTGCTTCCTCCTCTGCTCTTCCTCCTCCAGGACCTTCCTTCGCTCCTCCCTCTTTTTCTTCAGCTCCTCCAGCTCCAGGGCTGCCTCTTGCTGCTTCTGTTTGAGCTTCTCAAACTCTTCGCTCTCAGTTTCCCCACGACGGCGGCGCAGCTCTTCCAGGCGCTTGCCAGCCTCCACTTGGGGAGCCCCTTCTGCCTCCTTGGCCTCGCTGGCCCTCCCTCCAGAGCGGCTGGTGGTGGGAGAGAAACGGATGCAAAGGGGTTTGACACATGTCCGCCTGTAGCCTTTCCTGGAGGGAGGGGATGTGGGCCTGCAGGCTTGGCCTCCCACACAGAAATCTCCACTGTCTGTCATTGGGCAGGAGATCCTCACACCGACCCAGGGGGTAGGCTGGGGCCCAGCTGGCATCTCTAGGTCTGAATCTGAGTCCCTGCGCTGCCACTTACCCTGGGTTTTCTCAGCTATACAATGGGGGCAAGTGGGATTGTGAAGTGGTGCAACCACTATGAAAAAAAGTAGCGAGGCTCCTCAAAACATTAAAAACAGAACTCCCATATGATCCCACAATTAAGGAAAACACTGATTCCAAACAATATCTGCACCCCCATGTCCACTGCAGCATTATTTACAACAGCCGAGATATGGAAACAACCTAAGTGTTCACTGATGGATGAATGGGTAAAAAAAAAGTGGTACATATTTACAGTGGAATATTATTTAGCCATAAAAAATCTTATCTAAATACTCATGAACAAGTAGTGAGGGCATTCTTAACTAGACCTGAACAGAGGTAGCCCGTGTCCCACACTTTTGTCGGAGTAACAGATGAATTCCCACTGTCTAGCACCATTTATTCCATGTGGAGAACGGTACAGTGTTTCTAGCTATGGAGCAAGAGGAAGAATAAAACAGAAAATAGTTCAAGATGACACAATTACTAATATTGATCTCATGTGTACATCACATGCTTTTAAAACACTGAGGTTCTGAATATACCGTGCCCTTTAGAATGACGCTTTTCAAGCTGCAGGTCAGAAAATCAATTCAGTGGACTGTAATCAGCATTTACAAAAAATGAACTAGGAAACATCAGAGAGCACTGCCGAGAGCAAAGGAAATGACCGTTTCTTGACATGCTGGTTCCAGTTATGCATGTAGACATCACTGACTGGGTCATGATGTAAAATTTATTTCTTACTAAGAGCTGAGGTTAAAATGTTTAAAAATCGTATTCTAGCCCTGGCTGGTGTGGCTCAGTTGGTTGGGCATTGTCCCATGTATGGAAAAGTCTCTGGTTTGATACCTGGTCAGGGCACATGCCGGTTGCTGACTCAGTCCCTAGTGGGGAATGTGCAGGAGGCAGCCAATCAATGTTTCACTCTTACATCGATGTTTTTCCCTCTCTTCACTCTCCCTTCCTCTCTCTCTAAAATTCAATAATAAAAAAAATCTTATTCTAGGCACTTGATGGTTAAAAAAAAGTGAATTCTTTTATTTTGGACTCAATCAAAGTTAGACGGCCCCTTAAAACTTGATGTTGCTCTTTCAGGTCTTCTAGGTTTATAGGCTTGTGACTTCAGAGAGGAAATCTGCTCTCTCAGTTAATCTAAGGTCTTTCCATCTTCAGAGACATTTGCTCTGTTGTGTTCATTATGTTAGTGCTCAATTGGACGAGCATAACACATGCCATGTATAAACTTCTCTAGATTCCACTAGATGTCGCTCAGTCTTCATTTTGGACATTCAGAATGCCACCATTAGGGACTGGTTAAATAAATCACCATACTTCCATCCAGTGGAACAGGCTAACATCATTCGCTGTAGACTTACGTTTGTTGGTATAGAAGGCTAGCTAAGGTGCATTGCTATGCTAATGCAAGAATTAATTTAAAATGTAGATTTATAATTACACTCACATATACATGTTGCCTATATATGAGTGTCTATTTTGAATGTATATACATAAAAAATATCTGCAAAAATGTTACTAATGTTATCTTTGGGTGGTGGGTACTTATTTTTGTACTATTTTCTGAATGTTTTATAATGAGTACAATTTTTCTGATAATCAGAAAAAACTTTAATTCCCATATAAAAAATAAAAAGAAAGCAAAACAAATGCTTGTTCTGTACTATCTATAAAACCTTGGTATAATCTAGCTCTATAAACTTGTTCCTTGAATTGAGATTTTTATGTTATCTCTTAGAGAAAATGACCCAGTTATAAGAAAACAGAAATATCAAAGGGGATAGTAATTAAATCAAACACAGGAATTATGCTCAAAACAGGAACAAGAGTTGTGTCCATATTACCTCTGATCACATGTGCTGGCATGCCCTCAGCATTAGGGTGTCATGAGTAATATGAAAATTTCTTCTAGAAGGCTCTCTCCGCTATCCTTGGCTTCATTGGATTTTAAGTGAAGAAGAACATCAGACCTTTCACCAATAAAAACACAGCTGTGTCCTGGCCGGTGTGGCTCAGTGGTAGAGCCTCGGACTGCACACTGAAAGGGTTGTAAGTTTGATTCCAGGTCAAGGGCACGTACCTGGGTTGCAGGTTTGCTCCCCAGCCTGCCGGAGGCAACCACATAGATGTTTCTCTCTCTCTTTCCCCCTCTCCCTCCCTTCCACTCTTTCTAAAAATCAATGGAAAAAATATCCTCGGGTGAGGATTAACAAAAATAAATAAATAGCCCTAACCGGTTTGGCTCAGTGGATAGAGCATCGGCCTGTGGACTGAAGGGTCCCGGGTTCGATTCCAGTCAAGGGCATGTACCTTGGTTGCGGGTGCATCCCCAGTGGGGGGTGTGCAGGAGGCACCTGATGGATGTTTCTCTCTCATCGATGTTTCTAACTCTCTATCCCTCTCCCTTCCTCTCTGTAAAAAATCAATAAAATATATTTAAAAAAATAAATACATTTTCAAAAAACACACAGCTTGTTTTCAGTTAGGCTGGTAGACACTCTGCCAATCTAAATAGAGGCTCTTCCTCCCCAGCTCCTCACTTCATGGAGCAAAACCAGGCATTTCCGCTTCTATCATCACCGATTTCTATTGAAACTAAAACTAACACACGTTGGCAGCTAAACAAAAACTTTATGTTTCTGTCATTTTTGTATGCCCAAAGATGAAAATCAAAGAGTCACATTTCAGAGTCCTCGGTGTGCAACCTGTTGGCATCCCTGCTGACTTTTCTCTTGGTGGAATTACCCAACTCCCTGGATTTCCACACAACGGACATGTTAATTATTAATTTGAATTTGGCTAAAGCTGGTTGGCAAGCTTGCTAATTGTTAACCAAACTTTCTACTGACAGATTTTTTTAAAGCATTATTTCTCTTAACGAAAAATGTATTCATACCCACAAAACAGGTTTTAAACTATCAAACAACAAAACACTAACACTGTTAGGTAATGTTCATTAAACATGTCTCATGAACTTGATGCTGTTCTAGGTCTTTAAAACAATAACCTGCTGACACTTAGCAAGCTCTGGGCTCGGCTTACCTGCCCGAATCAACTTGCTTTCTAGATTTTCCATAAATTCCTGATAAACTCTTAAGTTTTCATATCTACTTTCTTGTCAATTTAGGCTTTCTATTGGTTAAATGTGATGCGGTTTCTGCTCAAAGTTTTGTATAGAAAAATTGTTTGGGGGCAATGATGTTGACCCATCTCAGCTTCTTAGAGGGGCTGGAAACATCCCTCCCCAGTAGCTGTGCTTGCTTCTGTATGTGACAAAGGCTTCATTGTGAGGCCCATGTCTGACTTCTACACAATACCTGCTTGGGACTTTCTTATTTGAAGTGTTCAGAAACACAGGGTCTACAGGCAAGGCTGCGTGGAAATCCACGTTATAGGGACCCAGACTCTTCCAGAACATGGGGCACAGCAGGAATGGGGCCCAGAGGTAGGAATGGGGCCCAGAGAATTGTCCGTAGTGGGCATCTGCAACTTGAGTCCTTCTACAAAATTGGTTGGGAACTCTAAGTGTTCATTTACTTGTCCTAAAATCAGTTGCCCAGATTTTCAACATAATGGGATGAGGAGGAGAAGCTGAAGCTATGCAAGAGGGGTTCTAACTGGAGTATTAGTCGGATGCCTTCTTCTTCCCTCTCAGAGGTTCCCAATACAAACTAACACCAAGTGCTTTCCAAGTCCTGTGGCAAAGAGAAATGATTGACTCAGTTTAACCGAATGTTTCCCAAATATTTGGCCACAGAACAATCCTAGTTTAATGCAGTATTTATCCACAACCTTTAGAAAATACAATTTTGAAAATGGTATTGCGAAGGTCTCTTAGGAAGTCGCCTGGACCATATAGAGAATGAATCAAAGATATGAATTCCAGGCATACTGTTTTCTACTACACTGATCTTCCATGAGCATATCAGGTCAGGGACAAAAGCTTGGATGCCAGGCCTAACCTACGTTGCTAAATTATGGGAAAGGTGGATTACACTTTGCCTGAGCAATGACCGTGGTCTTCTGTTAGTGATCGATAGCCCGGCCTGCTGACTGAGTATCCCTGAGACAATGGCCAATGACCTCACAACAAAAGCATGTTGCCTGTTCAGCACTTTCTGTCCAGAGGCACAGGATAGGAGGCTGATTTGTTTTTCACATGTGAACACAGTCGCTGTGAGCCACTACGTCTTACCTGAAGGTATTCTCGGTGTGTTTAAGCTTGTGGGTCATGAATTCTCCATTCTGTGACTTCACTTCTGTAAACCCCTTCTTTCCATCCAGGAAGCTCTTCACTTCTTCTCTGGGCTCTTTGTCCTTTTTAATCTTCTCATCTTTGATCTAACCAACGGTACACATCAGGAAGAAACATAACAATAAAAACCATATTAGGTTTTGGTTGGTATCACCAAATGAGACCCCAGAGTGCTAGGAAGATAGAAACCTCAGAAGTAAAACAAACCACCGTCGAACGATGTGGTAGAGATGGGGTCAGAGGAAATTCTTGGAGCATGAGCGACGGTTCTCCAGCCTCTGAGCAAAGACCTTGACCACAGTTTTAGGAAGTCAAGATCATTCCTGATTTCACTGGGGGCTTTATTTTAGAAAGCATTGGAGGTGTTACCATTGAAAACTATTACATTCTTGGAACTCCATTGACATGAGTGGTTTGCAGTTCCCAGTGGAAAGAACGATGATTGGGGTGGCTTTGATGGGAAAATGCCCAGGTTGCTTGGACAGGTTTCTTCTTGGGTGAAGAACACAAATGAGTTGAGGAGGAAAGAAGAGGAAACCTGACAGGTTAACCAGATCTGCCGAGCCAGTTTTAGCTGCTATCAGAGGAGGATGACCCTAGTATCCTAATAAAAAAAGTAACTAGGGCCCTGGCTGGTTTGGCTCAGTGCATAGGGCGTTGGCCTGCGGACTGAAGGGTCCTGTTTCGATTCTGGTCAAGGGCACATGCCTGGGTTGCGGACTTCTATCCCAATAGGGGGTGTGCAGGAGGCAGCCGATCAATGATTCTCATCATTGATGTTTGTATCTCTCTCTCCCTCTCTGAAATTAATAAAAAAATATTTTTATAAAAGTAACTAGGATCTTCAGGACAGAGGACACAAGGGGATGGCTCAGAGGTCTGTGGGACCATGTTTGTAGTCTCTAAAGCACTAAGTTAGAATGGGATGGGAGACACTCCAGGGTTTACCTTGACTTCCAGTGCAGGCAATAATTTAGTCTACAGAAGTGGTTTTGTGATTCTTGTGGATCACAAAAGGTCATACATGAAGAACAGGTATTAACTAATATTTTCTGGGTTTCACGTTACAAGTTCCTCATGGTAAATAAGAGATTATTTCAAAGTAAACTGAATTTACATAGCTTTTTTGGGGGGTAAAGGAGTACAAATTACTTTACCTATATCATCTCACCCATTCTTAAAAGATGAGTGTGAAAACGGGGGAGGTTCCACATTGCTCTTTCCAAGAAAACAGAGAAAGCACTAATGTTCTAAAGGAGCCTACGGAGCAAGGGTGGGGCATAAGAGCTTAGGATTTTAGGTGCTGCCTAGATGGTCTCCCCTTCCCTGAGAACTCACTTCTGTCCAGTTATTCTTCAGATACCCTCTGAACATTTATTATTAATGTGCATGTTTTACTAAGTAGAGTACTTTAAAAAAAAATCTTTACTGATGAGCCTTCAATAGTCCTTTCCCTGACTTCCTTCTTTGGGTATTATTTGATTAAATTACTATGGATGGACTATTCTGCAGTAATTTAATGGGCAATTATCATGTTGCCCTAATTAGTTAAAACTTTAACCTTTCTCCAAGGGATATGATATGATATCCCTTGGACATGCTCAAGAAAACAGAGAAAGCACTAATGTTCTAAAGGAGCCTACGGAGCAAGGGTGGGGCATAAGAGCTTAGGATTTTAGATGCTGCCTAGATGGTCTCCCCTTCCCTGAGAACTCACTTCTGTCCAGTTATTCTTCAGATACCCTCTGAACATTTATTATTAATGTGCATGTTTTACTAAGTATTTTTTTTTAAAAAAAAATCTTTACTGATGAGCCTTCAATAGTCCTTTCCCTGACTTCCTTCTTTGGGTATTATTTGATTAAATTACTATGGATGGACTATTCTGCAGTAATTTAATGGGCAATTATCATGTTGCCCTAATTAGTTAAAACTTTAACCTTTCTCCAAGGGGTATGATATGATATCCCTTGGACATGCTCGAGAAGGGTGCTATTGTTTTGCCATGCTCTCTGAGAGTTTTGTCTGGAAGTCAGGAAACCTGAATTTTGGTTCCAGTGCTATTGACAAACTAGCTGTGTTACTTTGATTATGTCACCTAACTTCTCTGAGATGTTGACTCCACGTACATAAAAAGTGGAGGTTAGGCTAGATGATCCCTTCCTAATCCTTCATCCTTTCATTTCCCTCCTATCCTCTCAGTTGCCATGAGGGGCTACAGAGAGGAGAAGGAAGCTCCTGGCTTGTTCTACAGCTTGGTGGCTGTCCTGGCCCAACCATAAATCAGTACCCATGGACAGGCAGGAGCTGGCAGGGTCTCTTCTTGTCTTAGTCTACCATTTTTGGATACAGCCCAGAAACCATGGACTGGATTATATATCTTGGTTAGGAAGTATCTGGGGATATAAATTTGGGGAGGAGAGGGGTCCCATTTTAGAAAACTCATGAAACAAATTCGGAGTCAAATCTCATGGGTTGTGAAATAGATGAAATACCCTTTAACTAACTTTTCCTATTTTGGAGTCAGAGACATTTCCATTCTTCCCAAATGCATTATCTAATTTACTAACCAAACATGTATGTAAAGTAGATTTGTAAAACAATACATGTTTTCTTCAAGCTCTGCCTTTATCGGCAAAGGCTATGGTGGATGTTATGTTTATATTCTTTTTGGAAGACTTCCTTAGGAAAATTCCCAGTGAAAGCATGATAATTTGAGTTTGCAAATTATTTTATCTTTTTGGGAAATGAATAAGTAAAGCAATTCCACAATGTATTTACATATTACTTTAAGGAGCATAGTGGATTGGATTGGATAGCAGATTTAACCCAAGCTCATGGGATTCTGAATCATTTGGGAAAAGCATTAGATCTAGGTCAGAATGTTATCATTCAGGAAATCTGTGCTGATGGATTAGTGGGTAGCCAAGTATTCTGAAAAAGTTAATGTGCTTCATGGACAGATAACATTAGCAAATGAAAGGCTGGCCAAATATGATCATTTGGCTAAAACTGGGTATTTGGGATATCCAATGGGATAACACATGGGTGTGTGTGGGAGGGAATTCCAGCGACATGACCCTGTGCCAGAGACATTCCAAGTGTCAAGTGAGCAGGTCATAAAGGACTGCTATGTCAGTCTTTGTAGTTTATTGTTTTGCATTATTTGATTCCAGAATAGTGACAAGAACGGGTGCAAGTTACTGTTCTTTTCAGATTAGGTTTTAATGCACATTTGTTAGACTCAGAAGCCTCAGTTCCTTCTTTGGGTCCAATATATAACTCATGAATGTCCTTGCTACTGAAAGTCTGGTCCACGGACAACACAGACCTCACCAGAAGCTCAGACTCTACCCAGAGCCAGTGAGTCAGGTTCTGCGTTCCCTAAGATCTCCTGGTGGCTCGCATGCACACCAGCGTTGGGGAGATTTGGACTAGATGCATGAATGTCAGTTTCAACATTGTAGGAATAACTCCCCCGGAAGCGGTTTTTCTGTTAGAGGCGGACGAAGGCTGTGTGTGTGGGAAGGTTGGGGGATGGGGGAGGGAGAGAGCTTTAGGGTGAAGAACTAAAAAGAACTTTAATCAATAAAGAAAAGAAAAGAAAGAATAATAATAATAAAAAAAGAACTAAAAAGAGACATTTTATGATTGGAGAGGAGAACAAAAAAGCTACATTAAATTTCAAGGTTGGTGATCATCTGCCATCCATTGCCACAAGCAATAAAATGTTTTCTACACTTAAAAAAAAAAAGAGTTAAACCGCAGTGGGAGAAAGAAGATGCTCTGTAAGGTGTTGCAGCGACTTCTGGAAATGTTTTCTCTAAGAAGGCTTACATGATGTTTGTGTTTATCGTGGTTGACCGATCCTGCATTGCTCCTTGAAAGAAAAGGCTTCTTAATTTTTTTTCTTAACAAAACGGAAATTAAAAAAAGGAGGAGGGTGTTTGAAATGGCTAAGTCACGTAAAATAGGATTTAAAGTCGTCTATATACAGCAACCACACAGCTACCTGGAGAGGGGAAAACCTAGTCATTCAACTAGTAGTTTATGTACGCCACGTTAAAATAGGAATGGCAGATTAACAAAAAATTTTTTTAATCCTGTGCAGAGGAGCTTATCTGGCCTCGTATAAAAAGGGGTCACGGGTTTTGGGACAGTGGAATGTGCTATAGAGCAAACTGGGAAAGAGGCAGCTCTGAAGTCATTGTACCGGGGACAGTGTTGAATGGGGGGGCCTTATCGGAAAGAGGCAAAAGGGAGGATCTGGATAGCGGCGTGAGCTCCTCCCAGCTCCCACACAGCACACAGACCAGAATGCTCTGGTCACTGAAAGCCAATCAGAGCCTCATGAAATGAGTTACATTTAGAGTACAGAGTCCAAACGTGCTTTTCCAGCTCCCCATCCCCAACATAAACTTAATCACTGAGCTATGGTTTCATGCCCTCTCCTTCCTGTAAAGATTTCCTCACCAAACACTAGCTCTAGAGAAGAACCCTGTGGGACGTTTCTGCTTGAGTTTAGTGCCGAGGTAACTTGCATTTTTTTGTAGTGTTCTTCTGTTACAAAATGAGAACACTGTTTTCCCACATGTTCAACCATTTCCTTAGCTGCCTCATTTGAGCCAAATTCGGTTTTCCAGTTATTAGCATTTACGCTTTCTCCTTCCTTTAAATGGACAGAGTTCACATTCAGTGTTCACTCCCAAACCACCATGCATTCTTTTAGAAGCACGGAGGAACAGGCATCTTAAACAAAATAAATATAACAGAAACGAAGGGTTTTTACTTTTCACATGCATTTTAGAAAAAATGCTTAAAAAAATAATCACCCCCTATTTAATCTGGTTATCTATTTTCCAATTATGGATTTTTTTCTGTTTCTTTTTATTTTATTTATTTTTATTTAATTTTTATTGATTTTTTACAGAGAGAAAGGGAGAGGGATAGAGAGTTAGAAACATCGATGAGAGAGAAACATCGATCAGCTGCCTCCTGCATACCCCCTACTGGGGTTGTGCCTGCAACCAAGGTACATGCCCTTGACCGGAATCGAACCTGGGACTCTTCAGTCCCCAGGCCGATGCTCTATCCAGTGAGCTAAACCGGCTAGGGCTTCCTGTTTCTTAACATATGCCACAGTGGGTAGAGAAATGTAGCAAGACCCCATTTGAGTTGGCTCCCAATAGCTTCAGGTCAGCTCAGCCGGTGTGGCTCAGTGGTTGAGCGTTGACCCAGGAACTAAGAGGTTGCCAGTTCAATTCCCGGTCAGGGCACATGCCCAGGTTTTGGGCTTGATCCCTGGAGAGGGCCATGCAGAAGACAGCCGATCGATGATGTTCCTCTCTCATTGATGTTTCTATCTCTCTATCCATCTCCCTTCCTCTCTCTCTAAAAAAAAAAAAAATCAATAAGAACATATTTAAAAACAATAGCTACAGGTCAGTCCATGGGCAAAGTGCTTAAATTCTTCCATTTTTGATAATTTAGTTTTACCATGTTCACATACATTGACCTCATTAGATACTGTCACAACTTTTAGGATTCATTGGTGCAAACATAAGCACAATGGATAAAGCAAAATCGGGCTTTCTGATGTGGCACTTCGAGGACATCAGGTCATGACCTTCTCTTTGCAGCAGCCTCTGGTCCGCTTATCAGTTACTTACCTATACAGTCCAACACCCTGGCACCAGTGCCTGTGTGTGCCTCAGAAATGCAATGCAGAACATTTTGCCCAAGTTTTCTTTCGGAAACCAAATATCATCTTCCATGCATCAAATTTTCTACTGAGATGTGGGGGGTGTTTTTCCTTTGAGAAGTTAAATCATTAATCAAAGCCAGTTGGAAATATTTCCTGATGGGAATGAAAGCAGGATGGCTCAAGGGGGTGGTGAGGAGGGATAGCACTTAGAAGAATAGAAAGTGGGGAAGATTGAGCAAAGAAGCGTTTTTCAAGCTTTTGACTATGACCCACAGTAAGAATGAAAATTTATGTCACTACGCAGTGTCTACTGCCTACAATGCTCCCTGACAGCTTCTATTTCTTTTTTTAAAATGCCGATGGACACATTTAACTACTTTTGAAATGCTCTAAGCTGATTTCGCCATTCAATGAATCGTTGAGTCATGGCTTGAAAAACATCAGAGGTCATCCGACCTGAAATGCCATGCACACTCTCTCTGCCACTTTATCATTAATGAGGTCATTTCCCAATAATATTTACCTCTTCTTTTTTGAAGGCAGGCTTGTCATCTTGGGACTTTTCTCTTTTAAGCTGCACTTTAGCCCCCTTTTCTTCTTCCTTTTCATTTTCAAGAATGGTAAGATCACGCATGTAAAAGCAGCCCTTTCTAGCTCTTACTCGAGTGAGAAGGTGCTCAGGTCACTCGGCATGTGGCACAGGCTGACTTCTCTTTTGCCGTGTCAGTGCTCACGTGGCCCCCGTGGTTACAGACAGCAACCGGGGGTATTTTCCTCCCGCCCCCGGTTGTTTTCCCGTGTGCCTGCCCTTGTGCTCACTGATATCTAGCGGGACATGGTGCTCCCTGGGCGTGTTTACAAACCTGGTGTGTGGTTTGGTGCATTTGGTTCCTAATCCTCTCTGTAGTGACTGTGTTCACGAGTCCCTCATAACAAGCAGGAGTGAAAGACCACTTCAGTGCAAAGCATACTTAGTGACAGAGCGTTCTGGGAGGTGAGCATGCGAGCAGGTGGCGGTTAAGCACAGTGCTTTGAATGCAGACTTGCAGACAGAAAAACAAATCTCTTGCCGCTCACACCCCTCCCCTCAATTTCCACCCTTCCTCAGGCTATGCCCGTTTATGTGTCACTCAGATGGTAAAAGAAGCAACACCTATGCTTTTAATTACCCGTCAATTATAGACTGATGCCACCCCAGGTGCCTGGCTTTCTGCAAGTTTACATTAAGCTCAGGTCTACATGATGCCAATCATGGTTTTGACATTTTTTAAAAAAGATCCTCAAACCGTGTCAGTGCTCACGTGGCCCCCGTGGTTACAGACAGCAACCGGGGGTATTTTCCTCCCGCCCCCGGTTGTTTTCCCGTGTGCCTGCCCTTGTGCTCACTGATATCTAGTGGGACATGGTGCTCCTTGGGCGTGTTTACAAACCTCGTGTGTGGTTTGGTGCATTTGGTTCCTAATCCTCTCCGTAGTGACTGTGTTCACGAGTCCCTCATAACAAGAAGGAGTGAAAGACCACTTCAGTGCAAAGTATACTTAGTGACAGAGCGTTCTTCTGGGAGGTGAGCATGCGAGCAGGTGGCGGTTAAGCACAGTGCTTTGAATGCAGACTTGCAGACAGAAAAACAAATCTCTTGCCGCTCACACCCCTCCCCTCAATTTCCACCCTTCCTCAGGCTATGCCCGTTTATGTGTCACTCAGATGGTAAAAGAAGCAACACCTATGCTTTTAATTACCCGTCAATTATAGACTGATGCCACCCCAGGTGCCTGGCTTTCTGCAAGTTTACATTAAGCTCAGGTCTACATGATGCCAATCATGGTTTTGACATTTTTTAAAAAAGATCCTCAAACTGACTTCTTTCCCTCCTTTATTATCAGTTGATTGCGAGGGTTTTATATTTGCCTTCTTAAGATGCTATTTCTGGTCATGATTCTCTTTTTGTCAGTTTCCCACCCCAACATGTGTAATTTTTTATTAAATGCCAAACCCATGGGTAAGGTTGAGGAGCTAAGATGCCTTTGCCTCATGTAGACCTATGGGTAGAAGTAAAGGTGTGAAAAGGAATGCGTTTAGATGCTGGCGCAGAACCACAAGTCAACACAGCACCGCCACAGTTTATCACCTTTGGGTTCATTCATTTTTCTGGCGTTCATAACAAGCAAGCCCCGAGCAACAGTAAATTTGGTTGACCGACTATTCGGCCAGCGATCGATTGCCTCATGCTTGCAGAGTGCTATGGCCTAAAAAACCGAACAGCTTGCCAAATGATCAAGCACGTGGCTTATAGGAATGCGGCCTCAGCCCCAAATTTGATGTGCGTTACATTTCTCACACGTCGCAGGCATCACACACACGCACGGTGCAAAATGTGTACTGTACCTGTTTCTTTTGGACAGCTGTCTGATGTTTATCTTCTCGTCCTTTCTTTTCATTGACCCATTTCCCGTCTATTTTCTCTTCTCCCTTTTCCCCTTTGATCCTTTTCTCTTCTGGCTGCTCTGCACGGTTTTGCTCTTCTACCTTAGCCTTCTCGGCTTTCTCTGCCTCTGCTCTCTGCCTCTCCTCCTCCGCCCTTCTCGCCTCCTCCTCAGCCCTCTCCCTCTCCTCTGCCTCCCTCCTCTCTCTCTCTTGTGCAGCGGCCCGTTCTTCCGCTTCCCTTCTTGCTTTCTCCTCCGCTATCTTTTGGGCTTGCTCAGCTTCAATTCTTTCTCTTTCTTCTGCTTCCAACCTGACCCTCTCTGCCTGAGCCCTTTCCCTTTCCTCCTCCTCCATCTTTTCCTGAAGGGCAATCTCATCCGAGCCTTGTTCCCTCTCATCCTCTATTTTAGGCTCCTCTGCACCGATCTGCCCATTTTTCAAAGGCATTCCCACTGCTTCTTCTCGAGTTTCTACGGGTTTCTCTTCCACCGTCACCTCTACCTGATTTTCTTTGATGCTCCCTCGCTTTGGCTTCTCCTCTTCCTCCTTTTCTTGGTCTTCTTTCTTTTTCTCTTCTGCCTCCCTCCAGTCGTTCTTCTGGTAGGACTTGGTGACTATGTCTGTTTCCTCCAACTCGTATCTTTCTCGGCGACTTTCGCTTTTTTCTTCCTTCTCTGCCGAGTCATCTTCTGTCGTGTCGTTCCGCATTCTCCCGCCGGACAGAGACAAGCCGGCGTCGGTGATCGTGGGGTCCAGCTCCTTCTGCCGCTCCAGCGCCTCCTGCAGGCGTTTCTGGCGCCGCTCCTCCCGCCGAGCCAGGCGCTCCAGTAAGGCGGCCTCGTCATCGCCCTCCACCTGCGTGTTGGCGGTGGTGGCGGCCTTGACCTCGTCCGGCACACTGCACGGCAGAAACAACACCAGAGACAGCGCGCTGCTGGTTAATCCGTCAGCGGATCCCCCGACCCACACTGGCCCTATGGCAGAGGCTGGCAGTGCCATGCCCATATACCCCCCTCTCCTCCCCTCCCCCTCCCCTAACGGACAGCATGTGCAAGTCTGTGCCCGCCGTCTTTCTCTGGCCACTGCAGTCTACTCTACAGGCCAGACGTGCTTTGGATATGAACGTTTCCTGCGAGCAGACGTCAAACAAACATTGATGAGCACTGGTGTATACAGACCTCCGCTCCCCATACCTTTTGGGTTGGATCATTCTGAGTGCCTGTGCTGCCTGGATCTTAGAGTTCCCCGGGGAGAGAAGCTCCAGGTGCCCACAGTGGTCCCTTGCTTGGCAATGAAACCTTTCTTTGGTTGCCGTTCCTTCCCTGTGTCACTTCCTCACACCACTCCCAATGTTTTCTGGGGTCATTTTACAAATAAACGACTTGTGGTCAAATCCTTGTTTCAGGATCTGCGGCTTGGGGAACTCAAACTAAGACAAGGACCAAACTGAAATAATAAGTGAATTCCTCTAGTATCATACAGTATTTTCACATGTCACCAAGTCATCTAGAGTTCTTAAACTGGATTTGTGGAACACAAAGTACTTGGAGAGGGAGGGAGTGTACTGTACATGATGGCGTGGACATGTTATACACACACCGAAGACCCCCATGGTAGAGACATGTAACTGTCCACCACAAATCATGCTCTTCCTTCCATAGTCACAGGAAGAGGTTGTCGGTCAAATATTATATTCTCTACCCTCCCTTCTTCCTGGCACCTAGGCGGAGCCATGTGACCAATAATTTCCAGCTGAATGTGAGCAAAAGTGATGTGTCCAGACCAAGATAATTAGGAAGCAAGGGTGCATTCTCTACCCTCTCTCTCTCTCTGCTGGCTAGATCAGAGGACTACAAAGCCCTAGGAATTGAGTCACAAGAGGAAAGAAAGTAGGTGACCAGTTCTACCTCCTCGTCAGAAGCAACCACACCGGACTGGTATATATTATTGAATTAAACGACTAAAATGTGGGGGCTCATTGTTTTAGCAGCTGACATTCCCCTCACTTATATACACACCATCTATGTTCTTTGTTAAGATTTTTATGAATCTGGGGTCTTTTGCCCTTCTTTCCACAGTAGACAAAGAACAGTGAAATGTGATGTTTATTTAAAAAGAAAAGAAAATCTCTAAAAATCACGTTGTACCATGTCCATCACCTCACTCCCTATTGCAGGACGCTGGACACTGCCTGAGCCAGGGGTGTTGGTCTCTGCTGGCAGGAAACAGCCAGCCATGTGATACCAGGAACTGTGGCCAGAGTTGGAAGAATATGTCTTGCAATGTTTAGAAACTCCATCAAATGTCATGGTTCATACTGAACTTGGCCCCTTTGAAGTTCAAGTTCACTTAATTTTGGAAAAACATGTTTCACATTTAACAACAAGAAATGGCAGAGCAAAGGCTAGATTTTAAACTTTCTTGGCCTTAGCTTGTTGCTACAGGACACTGTCTCCATGAATTGGACATGTAAGGATTACATGTCCCTGGAAATACAAATAGTTTAGAATTTAAGGGGAAAAGTCTATATACATAGGCATTTGGATCAACTGAATTTAAATAATTTTTAAAAGGTACCCCAAATTGTAAAGTGCTAGCCAGATGAAAGTACTCTGGAGTTAAGAAACCAACAGATTCTGCTGAACCTTTCTTCGCCTGTTTATAAATCATGACAGCAATCACCAGTAGTTAAGTACCAGTTAGGGTTGTTTACATTTTAGAGGTAAATCACACATGCTTTACTGAAAAAAGAAAAGAATTTTTTTGTGTTCAACCAATAGCATGAAATAACTGTTATTAGTAAAATGTGAAAAAGGAGAGAAACTCAAGTAGAAGCAAGATTTGAAAAGCAAGAAAAACTATAGACCATGAGTAACTTTTTCAGCCATTGTTGATCATTCACTGATAACCAGATTCAGGCAAGAGCTATTTTAAGGCTCTTTTCTCCCTTCCATCCTCAGCTCAAAAGTCGGAAAGGCAGTGAATGACTATGCAGCCTTCCTCTGTAAGACTCTGACACCATCTTCCTAATAATAATTAAAACTAGGTGTCTACTCTGTGCAAAGCACTGTGCATTTTACATGTTCTATTATCTTATTCAAATTCAGCAATGTTCCTAAGAGAAAGGGATAATGTTCATTTCCATTCATTTAACTGCAGAAATACAGTTAGTGAAAGGCCAAGTTCAGATTCAAAGCCAAGTAGTGAACCTCAGAGAATATACCTACAACCCCTTTGCTATATTCTCTCCTATTTAGGATCTACTTCTCAAGAGACATGGTCTCTATTTCTCTACCTAATCATTAAGTTTTCTTACTGAATTCATTCTGCCTACCAGCATATTCAAGACTGCCTTTAGAAACCTCCTGTGTGCCAACTCAAATTTGGGCTAAAGAGGCCAGAACTCTTCCCATTCAGAATTTTCTAGATAGACTGAATTAAAGAAACTGTCAACAGTGCCCTTAAACACACAAAATAAAACAAACTAAAACCAAAACCACATACGAGATCTTATATGGTGGTTTCATTATATTTAATCAGTCCATAATTATACATTAATATTAACGTTTTCCCTCCCTTTCCCCCTCCTCATCTTTTCTACACCCTATGGCATATAAATGGCATACACTAATCATTGGCATAATGGACTGCGTGACCTTGTATGTGTGACCTTGTAAAAGCCCTTTTAGAAGAAGTTGAATCTCTTAGTTGCTCTCAACTTTCTTCATTTCTACCAGGGCATGTATAGGAAAAATGTAGAAGTAAACTCATAAGCTTGTTGGAATAATTACATTAAATTAAACAGAATTTTTGCACCTTGCTGAATATTGTAGTGATCACAGAATATCGATTCAGGCTGTATATCAGGAAAACCAAGACAGTTGCAATTCATGCCTATTTTTAAAATTAAAGTATTATTTGCTGTTGATAGGCACAGAAAACTATTGAGTTAATAAATCTTTAGCTCAAAACAGATAGCAATAGCTTAAAGAATGAATGTAAATAGTTCCCCTTATTTAAAGCTATAACCCACCATATTGAGTAAATAAAAATGATTAGATTATAAAATAAAATCATTCAATTGGGGTATGTTTGGGTTGGGGGGAGAGAAAGGAATAGTGGTGTCCTATAGCTGATAACAGTTTACTGTTCAATCTGATTAGTTGCCTAAAATGGCCATGAAATAATTAAACAAATTAGACTGAAAAGAGTTGAGTTGGGCCGAGAAGGGAATGCTTTGCCCAACACATTCCATTCATCAGACAGGCTAAGAAGCAACTTAGACATTTTCCATTCTGAAGAGGACAGTACCTGTTCTGGGTGTGAACCTCCACCTGGTCGGTCACCTGCCCCAAGGATTCTTCCTCTTGCTTCTGCCGCAGCCTTTCCTGTCGGGCTCGCCGGCGCCGTTCCCGGGCAGCCTCTTCCTCATCATCGTCATTCCTCTGGTAGGCGATTCTGCAACATCACAGAAACAACCTCTTGAGCATGCCAACTGCCAACCATCCTTACCATCTTCTTGACAGGATCCGCCCCAAGTCGTTTTCTAAACTGGACTCCTATTGAACCACAGAGTTCTAAAAGGAAGGTTCCGTTCCTTACGTTTAGAGACCTAATCTCTAGTTTTCAAACTTTAACGGATCTGAAAAGCACTAACCCAATATCTACAGAAGATAATTTGCAACGATCAAATAAACAGCTTAAATTTAAAAACCTACACAAAAGCAAGTTGCCTTCAGAGACTACATTAGCATATGTGGTCTTTACTAAGCCCAGGACCAGCTTGTAAACTTTAGAGACAGAAACCCAAAGCATCAAAACACATTTGAAAATAATTTGAAAATAATCAAAAATACTTATTAAAAAGATTCAAAGCATGTTGTACTCATTATCTGTATAGACATTGTCACAAGGTCAGAAAAGAATCAAGTTGAGTAACCAAACCAGGACTTTGACATTAAAAAGCCCAAACCCCTAATTAAAATCGAGAGCAGAATAGCCTCTTTGCTTGGATTTTATATTTTCCTTTTAGTTCCTTTTCACAGGAGAGAGGTGACAACTGAAAGGAGGCTTCCAAGTCAGTGCAGTTCCCTTTAAGGCTCCTTTTTTGTTCTAAAAACACATGCCAGGCACATCATGGTAGCCCACACGTGTGCATTTACGTAGACACTTAAGGGCTAGGGCAGGTAGAAGAGGCACAGAGGGCTACACATGCATCTATTTTATTTAGCTTTCATAGTTTCAGCTGAAGCAAATGCCTATTTAGGGAAATGATACAATCAATACCATCATGTTAGATGTGTTGTCCTTATTCTCCAATAAAGAACCGGAGCTGGGAACGACAGATGCCCAGACTCAGGAGGAAATGACCTGAATGATTGACTTGGGTACATTTGAGAGATTAATGTGTATGGAGATACACAGTGCAGAGAAGGATGGATGTGCTGGCCCAGGGACGCGCTGGCCTGATGGGCCCATGGGTTGGGATGGAGATGCGATGTGCAGAAGGCTGCTTTTTACATTAGTTAAAGTGCTTTTATTACAATACTAGAGACCCAATGCATGAAATTTGTGCAAGGACCTTGGCCCCCATCCGCCTTGGCTTTGTCCGGAAGGACATCCGGAAGGACGTCTGGTCTAATTAGCATATTATGCTTTTATTATTATAGATTACTTACATATCTATAAATAGATATCCTGATATGCAAAAGTTTCATGCTTGCACTTCTTATATAACAACAAAGCTAAAATAATGTACAAATGAAAGAAAACAAAAATATAAATTGCATGTGGAACCATACAATTTATACCAACAACATGAACCTAATAACTGGGAGTGGTTTGCTGTGGTCAGTTTTACAAACCAGGCATGTTTAGGCATAGATCCGAAGCGATTTGACTTCAGTAATGCAAACGCTATGAATTTTTTTTCACCTAGATAGCTTATAAAACACAAAATGAACAAAACCTAAGGTTGGTTGGTTCGTTGCTACTTCAGAAAAATCTGACTTTATACTTACTAAAATCTGCTAGTGTGTAATACTCAAATTCCAATATAAATAAAATGTCACCAGCTGGTTTATTTCTGCAAACGTGGTGACAAGAGCAGTGTGATATAGTTGAAAGATAACTGGGTTAGTACTCAGAAAACCTGGTTTCTAGAACTGGCTTCTCACTCGCTGGTCGCCCTTGATGAACCGGAGTTAAATTGCCTTGTCTGAAAGTGTGTGCGAGTCTAATGAAATCATGGGCGTTGTGGTAAGGCATTCTCCAGCAGCGTATGTTATTGCTCTCAGGAAAGTGCAGTCGAGGAGCTGCTTTATGAGGAAAGATGAGTTCAATTTTAGACTCGTTGAACTTGAGGTGACAACATGACACAATTTGAATGTTCCCTTCTAATTCAATCACATTGTAGTTTGCAGTCAAAAGACCTTCCCAGTGGTTTGGCTTCAATCTTCAGATTCTTGGCCTAATATTCCTTTGGCTTATTTCTCAGTAGACAGCTTTAACCACAGCAGGGTCCTTAATGACTGCTTCCCAAGCCAATCAAACACAAAGTCTTAATTTGTTCCTCTACATCTCTGGATCAGCCACGAGGTCTTGGCTATTACTGGGACCTTCCTTTTCCAAGATAAGCAAGAGACATAAAAGCTCCATATGGGACATCCTATGCTACAAACAGAACTACCCCCCTTTCCTGAATGGAATTTCATTTTTAGCCCTTAATTTCCCACTATGCTTGAACAATGAGAGATGTTAGTGTCTTCCTCCCACCTACCCATGTGCTTCGCAGCTGGATGTTGTTGGCTTTTAGTTCTGACACAAACTTGATTTGCCACTGAGGCTAAATCACACTCGACCTTTCTTCATCTTAGAGTTCTCATTGGAGGAGCGGCCTGAACAACCAGATTATACCCAGTCTCCTTTAACTCTTTTCACTTGGTAGAACCTGAAATTTACAGTCAATCACTCTCCATGGGTAGCCCCCTTGCCTAGGATATACAGTTACCAGAACTAGATTTTTAAGGATCTTTTATTACTACTGATGAATATGCAAATTAAAATTGTTTTCAAAGAACAAAAAAGAGGCAAAAGGACTGCATGGTATTTTGAATCATAACATGACCAGTTGCTGGCTCGATAACATATCAGTTGACTTTGTAAGTAAAGTTGTGCCCATACCAAACGACTTGACATGCATGGAAATTCTTTAAATGTGAGGCTCCCTGCATTAGTTTCTTGCTTTTAGGGTCTGTCCCACAGCAACCTGCCTTTCAATAAATAACCCAGTTTATATTTTTTTCCTTCAAAATTGAAAAGAACTTAATTGTTCATTTCTTCTGATTCTAAAAGTAACATACACTTATTTTCTTAAATCAGACAATACAAAATATATAAAAGAGAAAGTGAAAATGTGTTCCTTAATCACACAACTCAGACATAGAAATGATTAATACTTGATGCATCCTACCAGACATTTTCCCATGTATCACAGATTCTTTTTTTTTAACAAAGTGGAATTATGTTTCATATATATATATACTTTATAAACAGTTTTAAATTTACCTCATTTATGATTTTTTTAACATACTAGTAAAATATAATGTTCACAGCAACACAGTATTCTATGTACAGATGTATACAGTAATTATATAAATGTATTATAATCTATTTAACCCATTTTTCCCTGATAGTTAAGATTTTTCCAAATTTATGTTCTTATAAACAATGCTGGAAAGGACATCATTATAGCTATACTTTTAGCACTTGTTCAATTACTCACCCAGGAAAAATTCTCCGAAGTTAGCATGTCTGTGTTTAAAAGTATGCTCACTGTAAAGGCTTTTGATACACACTGACAACTTGCCCTCCAGAAAGGCATGCAACACCAGCAATGTATGTGAGTGCTAATTTCATCATAAGTAGAATTTATTAAAAAAGACATCCAAATGCTAGCTCAACATCTAGTTTATGCTCCTGCTAAAGACAAAATGTTAACATTTCTAACCTCCCACACACCAGATGAAATGTATTTGAAAGGCTGCTGACTAGTAAACATCATACCTAACCACCCACTGGATTGTAATAAAAGCACAACAATCCATTCGTTCCTTCTGAGAAACGCCAGCAGACCCGGCATTAACCAGGGTACCGGTGCTCTCCACTACAAACAGCTGATGTTCCCAGATGATTCAGAGGCAGTGTGGGCCCGAACTTCCTCTGACTCATCTGGGAAAGACGAAACCATGTTGATTAGAGTTTTAATTGAACGCATTTTATTTGAAAAGAGGTAACCCCAACTGATATGTAAAGTACCTCTCTATTAAAAAAAAGTTTGACAAGAAGAATCCATGACTTCCCCCGCCCATGCTGGGTGTTAGCAGGTTTAGTATGGAGTCCCGTGCCCTGTTTTTTGGTAGCTGCCTTTGCTTGTCTGTGGAGGCATGAACACTTGGAGAAAGGTATGATTGAGCTTACTGCAGGGGCCAATGCTGCATCTTATAAACCATTGCAATTATACATACGGTATTTGGTCTTACTGCAGAGCAAAATGGCTCATCAAATATTAAAAAGAGAAATGGTGTGTGTGTGTGTGTGTGTGTGTGTGTGTGTGTGTGCATGAATAAGTGTTAAACAACCTCAAAAGTCCCTAATAATTACGTGATGTTATTTGACTGTCAGTGGAATGAACAAAGTAGAGAGAACTGGCTTTTCTTCCATTCCCAGAACCACTGCTAGAAGGCTCTGGTGTTAAATTATAAGAAAAAACAGACCTATGCGATGGGAAAACTCTCTTGGAATGCTGTGGCTTTCACACCAAAGAGGTACTCTACCACCAGGGTGTTGCAGCCTCAGTATATTCAAGTCATAAGACAATCATGTTACACGCTGTACCTTTTAGATAGAAAGTTCAAATAAATAAAAGTATTGCAGATATGGGGGGAAAAGTTATTGCAGATATGGCAAAGAAGGGACTCTCTGAGGAACTGGTGTCTTTATGTCTGGATGGGCCAGGATCTAAATGTACATCGATGAGAGGACGAGGAAGTAACAGAAGCTCCCACAGTTAAGACATTGGAGCGGGCACTCCTGTCATCTTGCCTGTGTCCTCCTCACCCCCTCCTCCTTCCCCATTACAGATTTCTTAAGACTTGTGCAACATTGGCAGCATGTCATCTACAATAAAGGTGGTTTTATTTTGGTTTCACCTCATGTTCCCCAGGGTTTGAAGACTGTTGTTCTTATTTCCTTTCATTTTGTCTTCTTTCCATTTTTGCTATTTTCTGATTTGAGACGATAGTACATGATCCTTGAACTTTCCAAGTAAAAATGCTGGCAATAGTATTTTATTAATAAAACAAGATCTCTTATCAGGAAACCATGTTTAAAAATAGAATAAGAAAAAGTAATAGCCATTTTTAAATGTCTTTATTGATTTTTAGAGCGAGAGGAAGGGG